GGACACTCGGTTCAGGCGCACAACAATATTTTGACACTGGATCACCAAGTTAAAGAAACGACTTCATTCACGCGGCACCAAAACCTGTCCCGTCTGTGTGGCAGGCAGGCATCAAATATCACATCCCGGCCCCTGACAGGCGACCATGAGGAATCGAACCCTCAGCTTGTCCCAGACCATTCTTTAGAGGGAACCCCGAATAAGTTGTGAGACCCTCCAAAGATCATCAACGCCCCTGCGAACCGACTTATGCTCAGGGTTATTTCCTGGGCAGCAGCCACCATATGCAAGGTGCAGGGCCGCACGGTGTCGGAAAACGTAATGGCAATATGTGGCGTCGCACGACTTGCATTCGCAGGTACTGCGCCACCGTGCCACCACATCCCGAAGTCATCCAAAGTTAAGCCATGAGGCCCGGAGCGAATCGCGTAGAAACAGCAAAAAGGGAAAAAAGAAAAGAGGCTGCATGAGACAAGGTGCCCGAAGTTCAGCAGTCCGCCTTCCTCCTGGAAGTTCAGGTGCAAGGTAACACAAAGGACGTTAGGCTGTCGACATTTTGGGATTCAGAATGAGACAGAACAAACCAAAGCCTCGGTTGGAGGCTGTTGTCACAAGTTTTGCGAGAGCAAATGCAAAAAGACTGGATTGTAGCTGCGCCAGGAACACATATATCATCTTGTGAATCCATCTAGGGCTTCAGAGTAAGGATGTGTAATAACAAAGTGCTCTTTTATCGCGACAAAAACACTTATTACTTATTCTCACACCTCTACATGTCTTGCAGTTCTGTTTTGCCCACCCACGGCAGCTGTCAATCCGTAAGGCCAGAGAGTCAAACAGACAGAGACAGTCGTTTCACGAGATTGCACTCAGCTGTTTGGTTCACACAGACCTCGTTGCCCACGTTGATGGTTGGTGGACATTTCCAATCCGATACGGGCCCAGTAAGGGTTTACGGTTTGCTACGCTTGTGCCCTCTGCCTGGTACACTGCCGGCCCCCTAGTATGTTGCCTACTTGCTGGCGCGCCTGGAAGAGTCCATGGGTGTTGGCTCGGCTTGATGTCCCTAAACACGATGTGACGAACGTCCGGAGCCTAATCCTGCTTCCTTACGGGAGATATTCGGTGTGACACCCAAGCAAGTCCTGCTTGCTTACATGAACTACAGTATTCGGTGGGACACTAAACCAAATTCTGCTTCCCTGCGAGAGCAATTGGGCGGGACACAAATCAAGTCCCGCTTGCTTGCAAGGGCAACAGTCTGAAAAACTGCAGATCAACTGAAGCAAAGAGTTGAAGTTTTACGTGTATCATATATAACATAACATATAATTAAAGGAGCACATAAACAATACACAATATGCAATATGCACTATATCATATACAATATAAAACATACAATATGCAAGATACAAAATAAAACACACAATGTACAACCATCAAATATATACAATATACAATACGCACATGGAAACCTGGAAACCAGCGAGTCCTCGGCCAAGGCAGGTGCAGCAGAAAAGGCAGTCGCCGCGGTGGCAAGGGCTCCGGCAGCTCCTCTCCAGGCAACCAGAAAAGGTGCTGCGCTTAAGAGGGCTTTTAGGTTTTAGGGGTAAGGGCGCCTGTTTGGTTTTAACGATCTTTTTTGACGGACTCTCTTTCTCTCTCTCATTCTGTTTTTGAAGCTTCTGCAAAACCAACTCTTTAGAAATGTTAGTCGATGACTTTTGGCAGCCTGCTTTAAAAGATGCTCAAACATGTTCAGAGCCCTTTCTGGTGCCATTTGTGGCAAATCAGGGGCGTGGAACCTCGCTGTACATGTGACCTGACCAAACAGTCATCCTGCTGCACTATCTCAAGAGGTTGGGAGTCCGCCTAGTTATCGATGCTTTCATGGTGCAGTGGTGCCGTGACATTGATTAGAAGATGAGATCCTGGCCAGCGATGGTTGCAGAACAATTGGGACACAAGCTGGACATAGTTTCGTCCTCTACTAAGCGCTACTAGTAGCCGACAGGGCAAAACGGACGGGCTTCCGACGAAGCATCAATGCATCGTTAAATGCTATGCGGACTCCGATGCGGATGACGAAATCACTCAGCGGATACGCAGCAGCCACTGTGTTTACGCGCAGATGCAGCTCAACCCTGTGCATAAATATCATAAATAGAAGTGTGTGTCTAACTGCTAACCCCCCCCTCACAGGACCCACCTTTAAAGCATAGTTCATTCACATTGCGAGAGTGAGTAAGGCATAAGAGCCGGCCCCAAGAATCCAAAAACATTGACAACCAAGGCCGAGGACCATAGTTTCTGTGATTTCGGGTTTTCCGTTTTTCCGCGCCGGCTCGAGTGCGGTAACCCTGACAGGGTCGAATACTTCGCTTTTTCGAGCAGGCTCGCAAAAAACGAAGTTTTGACCAACCAAATGAACTTTATCTAAACGAAGTTTTGACCAACCAAATGAACTTTATCTAATCAGTACAACGCATCCCTGATTAATTCGTACCATTATTGTAATTAAAATGACCAATGCCTCAAATATAATTACTTTTGTATTGGTATGAGTCATTTAATTCATACAACCATTATCACTACATGATTGATAGAACCAACATAGTTAATCTTGCAGTTCATATACGTAGTTGGTAGGCATAGTGTTATTTCGAAAGCTCGGAGCAGCAATTAAATTTATTGGAATAATCGAATTGTGCGAACTATTGAAACCCATACTTTCTGTCGTAAGACAAGGCCACACATCCTAAAACACTACTTTTGGGCTTCGTTCAGCTTTACGACTGATAAGAGTATATATAAGCGGCCATACCCTGAGCTGTCCTCTTTTGGGCTTCAGATACATATCTAAGCCTAATTAGTAACGGAAATTTACAGCCCACACCCAAAGAGACCTTCCTCTGAGAGATCCTCTACGTAGCCTCATTCGCAATGAAACTGAATTACACATCGAAATTCACAGACCACACAGTCAGGGCCTCGTTCGCATTTAGGGTTATGAAATCCTCTTCTGGGGCCTGTTCTCAGCAAAACCTCATAGACTTTATAAGCAGAGAAACCCTTTTCTGGGACTGTTTGGGGGTGCGCGGTGGGATCCTGAATCCGCCGAGGCCTCGAGTCGAAGGTGTACAGGCACCCCCCTCCCCCAAACCCAAAACGGATGGTTCACCAGGACCAGGGGCAGTTGAAGCCCCGCCCAGCAGGTCCCACCCCCCGCTGCCCATCCCCCCCCTGCCCATCCTGCCCCGTTTGCCCCCCCCCCCCTTTTGTTTGAGGGGCCCGAGCATTATGTTACGAATCCTGTCCAACCCAACCATCTAAACCCTGAACCTTGAACCTTGAGCCTTGCACTCTAAACCCAAAAACCCTTTTGCATCCGGGCTACCCTAAAACCCAAACCGTAAACCTTGAGCCCTCAACACTAAACCCTAAACCATAAACCACAAACCCGGAACCCTGAACCCTAAACCCAACCCTTATTGCTTGGGGTCCAGCGACTTTGGCGCTGCGGAGTCACCATGCTCACGCGGATGCGCTGGGCCGGGCCGAGGCGGGTCGCGTAGCGTTTTAATAATCCGCCGAGGCCTCGGGCCGGAGGTGTATAGGTTGTGAGAACAGGCACCCCCCTCCAAATCCTCCAAACCACTTTTTTGGACCCCTTTTTTTGCCTCAAATGGGTACTCCCCGGAGGAAACCGGGGTCCGCAAGCGGACGGTTGGCGCGCCAGAGGCAGTTGAAGCCCCTCCCAGCAGGGCCCCCCCCACCCCCCCTCCCCCCCCCCCTACCCCCCTGCCTCTCCCCCTCCCCTTTTCCCCACCCAAAACCACTACAAAATATATCCGAAGAGTCTAAGCTTGAAACTAAACCCTAAACCTCAAACCTTAAGCCTTAAGCCCGAAGCACTCAACCCTCAAACCTTCAACAAACCCCCCCCTCCCCTGCCCCCCCCTGCCCCCCTTCCCCCCCCACGCCCCCTACCCTCTGAGGGGCCTGGCTATCAATCCAAGCCGAACCGTCTCTTGAACCCTAAACCCAAAAAAACCCTAAACCCCAAAGTGTGAACCTTGAGCCCTAAGCCCTCAATCCTAAACTAACCCTCAACCCTAAACCCCAAACCATAAACCATAAACCCGGAACCCTACCCTAAACCCAACCCTTATTGCTTGGGGTCCAGCGACTTGGGCGCGGAATCACCATGCTCACGCGGATGCGCTGGGCCGGCCCGAGGCGGGTCGCGTAGCGTCAAAATTCAGGCAAACCGACTGCTGTAAGAAAATTCCACGCGTCCCGCCTTTAAAATCAATTGCCGGGCATCGCTGCGCCTTTTACACTCCTCCCTATTAAAATCATATAAACCCCGGGACTGCGTAAACAGAGACAAAAACCGCTTCGACTGTTTTAGAGGGGGGGTGGGGGACCCTACACTAAAACAGGTGTAGCATCACAGACCAGATCGTCTTGGACTTCAGAGCATGAAGCCCAGGTCCCTCTCTCTCTTAAGAACCTGGTAGTAGCATTTTCATCTCTCAAAATCAGGTCCCAGACCATCAAACTCGAGACTGTTGTTTTATGTTGTTTTGAGATGTTTTGAGGGGTTTGCGCATCTTTGCACCTACACACCTGCCTCCGCGAAGCAGTGGCTTCCCTGCAGGGAGAAAAGCCGTAGCACTCCGACGCAGGGCGAGAGTGGCAATCACAGCCAAGAGTGCGAAGGAAAGGACTCCACGGCGTGCCATTGCTTCAATAGTGCTTCAATAAATGGTCGGAAAATATGTGTACAAAGAAGGCAAAAAGACAAAGGAACAGGGATGGACCACGAATGTCCCGGATGTTTTGAATGAAGGCACTGCTTCCTGTATTCGCTGCTTGCCTGAGCCGGAATCGTCACACGAATATTGCAACTTCATGCACCCAATCACATTCTGGGTTAAAACACCACTCCTGTCGCAGCAAAACCTTCCCCGGCACCCTAATCATGGGGGCTGGGCGGCGGGATGTGAAGTAGGCACCGGCATGCCAAACGGCCTTGACACTGGCAAGGATTGTTTCGGCTGACATGGGCACGTGTGACCTCATGTTTTCTGCAGGGTATGTACCTGCAGGCCTATGCGTCGGCCAAGTTGTAGCCTCGTCTGCATGTCGGTAAGCCCCGCACGACCTACCAGCCTTACCCGCGGGCCTGCCTGCGGGACTTTTGTTGCTACGACCACCACCATCACCACGACGACGAGGACGACGAGGACGACGACGACCACGAGTACGACTAGTATGCAAGCTGGAGCAAGTACCCAAGTCACTCAATGGCATACACTCTGTGCCGGTGTGAAACGGAGCTCTGGGTTCGCTACAGGACCGGCTCTTGCGATTGCTCCCTGCGCCTTCGCACGAGCTGGCATTTTCTACTGCGCGGGATTTGAGCGTGCGGGCGACGGTGTTTACAAGTTGTGCAGAATATGTATAATCGTTGGGCTCTGCAGGCTGTTGCTAGAGAGATCCCAAAGTGCCCCGGATATCCACATCACCGACGTTGGCAAAGGTTGTTGTTGTTGGCTTCTAGGCAAGATGGCGTCGGAAAAGTAGGCCTGAGCCAGCAAACTTTGCGCAAGCCACTCGAGAAAACCAGGTAGAAACAGCTGAGTAGTGCCCTCGTGTCACGGAAGCCTTGCAATCCCGACAAGTTCGGAAGCTCACAGCGCTGCTACTGTAAGTAGGAACTGCCTGCCCCAAGGAAACATCTTGTTTTTCCCCTCCCTCCCCCTGGCAGAATTTCACAAGGCTCGAGCAGGATGGCCCAGAGCTGAGGATCCGCCACGATATCTTCAAAGGACCTTAGGCAAGTTCAGATTCCGTTTCTGTCGGTCACAAACAGTTATATTGCGTTCATTAATGCATGGCTGTGAAAGTCTGTGAGCACTCCATCGCCAAATGCAGATCATCTCTGGACTCCCTTTGTCTTGCGGCCCTTTCAAAATCACGACTCCGGAATAAAGCTCTTGCGCGGGGCTCAGGGTGGTCAGACAAATACATAGGATTGTGGGATTGCAAAGCAGCTTCTCAGGGAAGAGCAGAGACTATGGTTGTAGGCCTCACCGACGACTAGCTACGCAGTACCAGTGGCGCATGGCCTACAGCAAGACCTGTCCTGGGAGGGACGCTGCCATGCTGGGCTACGCGTTAAGCTTACGTTCTTCAGGTAGCGATGCATCAGAGCACAGGGGCAGCGATGCTCGCATGGACTGGACCGACACTCGGTATTTGCAACACGTGTCCGTTGTGGAGAGTCGCTGGGAGCGACATGCGCGATGGGGTCGTGTCGCTGCTTTGATGGAGGCGCCGGCACCCGAAGGGCTGAAAGTGGCTTAACTTTCTTGGCCATCTGAAAACCCTCTGACCTTTTGTATGCCTCCCAGATGAAACACGCAGCACTGCAGCCCAAAACCAAGCCAACAAGCCCTGTGCAGGTCAGCCAAGTGGCAAAAGCTTGCTGGACTCCGCAGCAGGAGCATTGCTTGATGTTGAAGAAGGGCCTGGCAGAAGCACCGCGGGTCCGATCTCCTGAACATTGCTCGTTGCTGATGAGTACTCAAGAATGCAAGATTATGTCCTTTAAAACCCTGTGTGCTCACAACACCCTTAAAAGCACGACCCGGATCCGGATTGAACGGAGCAGCTGAAGACTCCTTTCGAACCCGAACAAAGGCCCTGCTGTTGCAAAACTTCTAGAGATTCGAGTGCTGCATCAGCTACATCCTTCCGGAAGAGAGCCTTTTTTCATGCTTGACGACTTGTCGCAACTAGGAAATTGTGGTGAAACCAAACGCTGTCGGAGAGAGTCTGCAACATGTATCGGGCAAGCAGCTGCCAAACTTGAGCTATCACTGTCTGCTTGCATCCAGCTGTTGTGTTGCTAATGAGACTCGCTTTATTCCAAGCATGGACCTGGGCATGTTTGAAGACATCTTGCTGGTAAACCGTCGCACGTCGGAGCATTCAGCCATTACCGTCGTCCTCCAACTCCAACTCATCGTCCTGGCCTTCCTCGTTGTTCTCCTGGTTCAGAGTTGCAGCCCGTTGCACATCCTAGTTCCTGACAAGCTGGCTGGACTCGAGTCAGTTTAGTGTACCAGGAGGCCCACATGATCCACATGCACCCAGAAACTCTAGTGACTCTAGTGACTCTAGTGGCCCTCCTCTTCTTCGCTCTCTTCGTCAAAGTGCCGCAGGTCCAAGAGCTTCTTCTCCCTGGGCCATAGAGTTTCCAATTCTTTGAGCCCACTTTGCAAGGCCATCAGCACAGAAGCCTTTGACAAAGCCTACGAAGCTTGCGATCCAGCTCTGTTGGTCATGAGCCCTCGTGCCTGACTTCACCGCGCGAAGCAGCTTTGACAGCTTCTACGTTGATCTGGCGCAGCGTTTCAGCCTGTGATTCAAGGTTCGTGCGGCTTTGCAAGTGCTCTGGCCCGTGCAGCAGTTACAAAACCTCCACTTGGCATTCAGGGCCCGGCAGGGTTGCCGAAAACTGCAGCGAAATCTTCATAGGTGGCGCTGCCTGTCTCTTTCCTAAGCTCGCAAAAGGACAAGCCTTTCTAGACTGATGCCTACACCCTAAACTCTAAACAACAGCAGCCATCTTCACGAATCAAGCGATGACATTTCGTGCCATGACCAAGGAAGGCATTTGGGTGGAGTTGTGGTTTGTTGCCTGGACTTCTTTTTCCTTGGCAGATTGTGGGGTGGGGGTTTTGGGCTTCTTTCTGCCACCTGCCTAGCCGCAGCACTGCGGGGCTCACGTTTGAGAAGCAATAACATGACAAGTGACAACAGGGTCAAATCCCACCCCCAGGAAATATGGATAAGGTTAGGCGGGTAGGCAAAACTGGAGGCCACGAGACACTACACAAAATGCAAGAGCCCCCATAGGACTAACCGTTCAGTCAGTGCCAAAGGCCCTAAGCACATTCAATTCAACCCAGCCAAACGACTGTTGATGTGTATGAGTTCTTCTGCCAAAAACCTCTCATACACGCTTAGACTGCCAACCTGCTTCTGCTGCTGCTTGGCAAGCTCGGCCGGCTCACGCAAAGGTCATGTTGGTTCGCTCAGATATGAGGGCATGCAGGACCGCTGCTAGGGAGTCTCTGGATTGGGCACTCCAGGGAGTCTCTGGGCACTCCAGGGAGTCTTGGGATGGGGCGTTGGGCATTTCTGGGGGGGAGTCTCTGGGGTTGGGCACTCCAGGGAGTTTTTATATATAGGAGTAGACAGGGCGAGGAGAAAAGTTCCCGGCGAGGAGAAGAGTTGAGTTTAAAATCTAACAACCCCACACCGAAGGTGGGGAATAACTAAGGGCCATCCATGCCCGGTCGTGGAAAGCAAACCCTGATCAAGGCCAAAGTGCATGTCCACCAGGGCAATCATAGCCTGTCAAGGAGGCCGGCCGAATCTTCTTGCTCATGGCGTCTGAAGCTGTTCTGAGTGTCTGATGCTGTCCGAGGGCCCATGCACTGTGGCAATCAGAAGAACAGTTTCTGGACGCTCTTTACTTTACTGCTGCTCAGCCAGGTTTAGGCTCTACTCCGGTTAAGGCCCCATATGATGGCACACATGCGTTATCATGCGTTCACAGTCTGGAGTAGCCGCTCCTTAGCCTTCTGCGGAGGGTTTTTTCCGTCCCAAACAGCAGAAGCATCGACCCGCTCGCTCCGTGACAAGGCCTGTGCCACCATCGCATTGCGTGGAGCGTACCCATACCATGAAAAGTCCATGCTATCAGCGTGTCCATAACACGAAGGAGCCATGCCCCTGCCATGTTCATGTTCCCCCTGCCTGACCAGAGCATCCCGTGCGTGCAAACAATGATAGCGTTCGTGCCGGCAGCGCCCCAGTTGCGCGGAGCACTGCGGAGCACGTCCCTGCGCCCGCAGTGCATCGGTTGCATGGCACCTTCATGCCCACGCCCTCCCATATACCATGATAACGTCCGAACTGCCGGGGCATTCTGTCATCCACGCCTGTACCATGAGAACACCTGTGCTACCAGCACCGTCCGTTACCTGGAGCATCTGCCCAGCGCGATAGCTTGCAACAATTACTATGACAACGTCCATGGCACATCCGTTGCGCCACACAGCCCTGACTCTGTGCCTTCAGGTTTGTTAGGACTCTTGACAAGTGAAGACGCTGCCATGCTTTTCGCACATAACACCCTCACAAAGGCCGCTGAGTTTTCTGTGGTCCTAAGGTTTACTAGGAGAGATCTGTTCTGCTCGCGATGACGAGGCCTCCAGCTCGTTCGGCTCGATTTCGAGCCCCATCCTCAGTGATGCCAGAGCAAGTTGCGGAAAAACATGAGGGGGAACACAAATCACCATGGCGTGTCCGTTGCACATGCGCAAATGACTTTTTTGGATTACTCGAGCGTCCTAGAGGCATTCCTCGTGCGGCAGACGCTACAGGACATGCATTCAAAAGCAATGAGCCGTTCCGGCGTATCCACCTGCCTCAGGTCCTGTTAACTCCCGGCTGAGGCTGCCAAACTCCACGGAAAGTGGAAAAATGCACAATCCAGGGCGCCCAAGCTAGAGAGCTGGCACGCTGCATCTGAATGTCAGACTGAACGCTGAACGTATATTTGGATAATTGCTACAACGGACCTAAACCCAATTGTAAACTGACAGGGTAGTACTTGCAACCGACTCCAGCCGACACACGCCTTCACAACCGATGTGGCGCATCAATCCGTTGTTCTTCGGGGTCCAGCGTGACATACCCGCAGGATTCAATCACTACCCAATCTTTGGGGACATGGCACGGCTTCGCTGGCAAGGACATGAGCCAAGTATCTGAAGCATCAAGTGCCGGAGGACTTTGCTGCTGATGGCCTGTACATTTGGGGACTTTCATCGTTCTCCATCACGGTTTCTAAGAGAAATCGGAAGAACGGAAGAACGGAAGAACCTGCAAAGATCCAAGGCTTTGAGGGGCTTTGAGGGGCTCGGGGGCTGCCGAGTCCGAGCATGCCCTTCATGATCCCAGCCTCGCAGCTGTCCAGATCCTGAAGGCACAGCTTTCAAGCCTTGAAGTCTGATGAACTCCAGGAGCAGTATTCGGCAAAGCTCACTGCCCTCTGCTGGGTTTATGCTAAACAAACTCACCGACTTTGGGAGGCATACTTTCGACTCGATGGTGTGTCTTAAGATGTATCCCTGAATCCCCCCCTATATGCAGTTGTCCATCTTCTGGAAGATCTTCCGCAGCAGCTGTTCATCAAGCTGCACGGAGCCGATGGGCGGCGGCTTCTCACGCATGCGCTCATCCCGCTTCGCGGCCTGCCGAAGGACACCCAAAAGGAAGTCCAGGGTCTGGGTTTTGCCAGCGGCATCCCTTTGAAGTTGTCTTGTCAAAATTTCCTTGCTCGTGACGCTCATGCAGCAGTACTTGCATGTCGCTTCATGTGGGAAACCAACAAAACAAGTTTCTCCATTTGAGTGCCGCTGTTTGTGGTCTCGAGCTGCGGCAAGTTTCTTATCTGAGAGCTGCTTAGACAGTACTGTATGGATGCTTCATGCCATCACGGTCGTCGGCCGCACTGGTGCCGTGGCAGCACTGGGCTGGAGGTTCGTGGCGGAGGCATGCACCAACCTCACCAACCCCCCCCCCCCCTCGGTGGGACGATACCGTTGCTTTGAGTACTTGCACTTTCACACGACTTTTGAAAGCAGCCCTTTAGATTTTGGAGTTAAGGGCTCACTTCACGGCTCAACATAGTTACATCTGTGATGGGGTCGTACCGCCAGGCACAAACAAGAGCCTTTAGTGGTAGGCAGCGTGCGTTTGTGGGTTTCGGGAAATGAGAACAACGAACTCCTGGGACTTTTGCAGTGCAGCGTTGTGGAGTCTTTGAAGGTGGACGTGCGAAATGAGCTTGGACGGAGAAGGGTTGCAAATTTGTTGCAAAAGCAGGCACCGAAAACACTGCTCTTGCCTTAGGGTCACTGCTGCGGAGACGATGCAGAGCACAGACAACGGAGCGCACCAGCCTGCATGCCCTCAACAGCACCTCTGATCTTTCGGACCTTGCTGGTTCTTGGAACGCCGTGGCATCATGTGGCATCCTATCTCAGCATCCCCCACCTCATGCATGCTGCGTCCAACAGCCTATGGCTTGGCTCGCTCTCCTCTCTCTCCTCCTTCTTCTTCTTCTCCTCCTCTTCCGCTACCACAAACACTCGGCACCTGGCTCCTCGCCTATATCCCGACTCTTCTGCGGCTTCTTGCAGAACTGGCGGCAGTTTCACCTTTCACGCAGAAGCATCTAAGTTGGATGCTGCTCTGAACACTCACGCGTACTGATTGCTCTCAGGTATGACCAACGATGGCCAGAATAACCCAACAGACACCTCCTTTAGGCCGAGCCCGGTGAGCCTCCTGTGGGACTCCGAGGTTGCTTCGAATCTTTGGCGAAAGGTAAGCTGGATCCAAATCCTGTCCAAGGGACGCTTCAGCCGCATCCTAGGACAAGCATAGGACTCTCATAGGCATGGCATCCAAAATCTGCACCGCGGTGCGTAGTCGCCCTTTGCTCGAGCCTTAGCTACCTCAATCCTATATTGCTTGCTCGCGATCGCAACCCCCGGAGTCCGAATCGCTGTCGACATCCTCCGCATAATGCATGACCTCTACGTCCACCTCTGGCACGGGCCTCCAGACGGCAACAATCTGATTTCATCGAGCATGTCTCGGATGAGTGTCAAAAAACATATGGAGATCGGGTTCCATGACGAGGCTTCGTGGCCGTCTTCAAGTTGTTTGGGTGTTGAGTGTAGTGCCCATGTGGGGAGGAGGTCAACGAATGTACATTCTCCACAATTCCACAAGAAGGGACTTTTTTCCAAAGTCTGATTTGGAACTTCTCAGACATCCTGTTTGGAGAAGTAAGCTTCAATGTCTATGTCTATGGCTCCTGTAGACTCCAACACTTATAGCTGTATGTGTAACCCAATTGTCCGGCCTCTCGATTTGAGGGAACTTGGCTGGGTGGCGGAAGTCCTGTCACCAATTCTTTCACGTTGGCAGAGGATCTTGCACAGGGGCAGGGGAAGCCTTGGCCTGACGAAGCTTCAGCCCGTGCGCCCTCTGTCCTTCTTGACGGTGGGCCTCGCTGAAGTCGCTGCATCTTCTGCGCGCTTGGCGGGCTTCGGTCTTTTTGGATCCTCGATGGCAGATGCCGGCATGTATGCGGAAGGCACAAAAACAAGGTCACTTCGGTCACTTCGGTCACTTCCGATCCATTCAGGTAGCTACGAGTGAACTCGAAATTTCGAACAGGAAGGCCGCCATGGTGCTTTTTCTTGCATGGAACGGGGCTTTATGAAAGCTTCAAAAGACCTTGCTCTTATCATATCCTTGTCTTCCACGCACTGAGGAAGCCTCAAAATTACCGATTCTTTCCTTTGTCGCGAGTCAGCTGGTCGGATCATGTTTGGACGAGTTGTGCTGTGTCTTCGGAATTCCCGACATTAACAGGAGGGCTTCTGCTAAGTTGTCGCGTCATCACGTGCCTCTTTGCTTCATTCCTGTCCTTTCTGCCCATCCCACCCCCGCAGCCCCTGGCAGCATCGTACAGCGAAGCGTTTCGTGACAAGGTTGGGTGGGTCAGAAAAAGATGTGCCTTCAGCTTTCGAGCGCAGGCAGGCTTCTTCCCACCAAGCCAAAAAACAGAGAGCACTCCCACCCCCCACCCTTCTTTGCGAAGCCCCAAATCTTCTGTGCCGTAGTCCGCGATGTGCTCAAAATCGACCCGACTGAGCTCTGTTCCTCTTCTTCTGCTGCTTCTTCTCAGATGATTTAGGGGACAGATCCCCGTGCATCCGCGCGCCCTTGGCTCGCAGGGTCCTTGTCCAGTCTCGGGTGTAATTTGACTGCTTTAGTGGCTCCCCGAATTTTTTTGAACAATGCCAGTACTGCAGGAATTGCCGTACTCGGGTCCCTCTCTTCCTCTCTTTCTCTCTTGCCCTCACTACAAGCATGTGCTGTTTGTGTTTGACTTTACTTTTGCACGGTTGAAGAACAGAACCCTGAGGTCTCGACAGGGTGACATCTGTTTCACTTCCTTTTGGATGGCCCGTGCGGCAAACAACTCCAAGGTGAGCAACAGCATTCGATCACGAACTCAGACCTGAACCCTCAAACCCTAAGCGCGGAAGCCTTCTTCAAGTCCTCAAAACATAATGAACTAGCTAACTCGAAAAGCCGAGGAACTGCCATGCCCCACGCGGCAATAGTTTCTGCCACGTCTCTCTTGGGACCTGAAACCTGATCTATTGAAACTGAGAGAACTGTGAAGCGAGGTTTCAATCAAGAGGGTTTGAAGTTTAAGGTCTAGACAGAGTTCAGGGACGATCTGGCGTGTAAGGTAGGGAGCTGAGCTCTAGAAATCCCTGAATCGAAAATTGCTGGTCAACAGAAATTGAACTCTCAACTACGACCCCCTTGCGCTGCACAGGGCCATGGCAGCCAGAGCATTGCGATTTTCCAGTATCTTCAGGAGCTCTTGAATACTCTTGCAAACGGAGTTTGATTTCATGACTCTTCTGTCCCGAGCTCTAGGTCTACTAGGGGACCTGACACTACGGCTCCATCGCAAAACGGCATAAAGAGAGAGAGAGAGAGAGAGAGCTATATGTTATGTGAATGTGCGTAACTTGCCTTGCCCCCAGCTGAGAACTCTCCTTGAGAAACGACTTGTTCGATCAAGCGCGGCCATGTTTTTGTAGGATTGTGGCATGAGCGCAGGCAGTGGGAGAAAGGCAAACTCGTTTCCATAAACTCGAGGCTCGCCCAACATGTCATGAACATATTTCAAACACCGGTGCGCGTGGCAAGGGCCCCTTACAGATACATGGTCAACTAACCACAAACATGTCGGTTTAAACCGGCTGTCGGTGTGGACGTCGTGTCCTGACCAATTGCATTGAACATTTTATTGACATCAACATGCTGCGACCACCCAGTCTTAAGCCCGACATCCCTTCTGGCCACTTTTGTTGATTACTGGCCCCTCGATAAGCTGCACCGGCACATCAACATACCCATGTTCTGCCAACGATGCGCAATTTGGGCGGCAAGATGGATCACAGGACTCTGCATCGCATGGCCTTTTTCATCAAGGCCTTTGGGAAGCACCTTGTGCAGCTGCAAGGCATCCAATGGGCAGCATGAATGACAAGAGCCCTTTGCCAGCTTCAGGCTCAGCATGGTTCAGTATATCATATAAACCTCCTGGCTTCAGACCTAAGCGCTGTGGAAGTCAATCCAAAACCCCATGCAAGCAGCTCTGACCTATGTGGTGACAGGCCAGGCAACACAACTCGGCGCTTTTTAGAGTGGGCGGGGCCCAAACTCAGCGAAAAACCCATGTTGAAAGCCACGAGCAAGATCCTGCTTGAATCTCAAGCCCACTCCAATTCATCCCCTCATCAATTGTCATGATGAGCACATCTTGCTGCTCGGATGGTTGAGGCTTCGTGGCGGACAAGGTCTCACTTGGCATCGGCCCGCTTAAAGCCTTTACATGCCTTTACTAAACTGGGTGCAGAGCTCCCAATATGGCGACCCATCACACTGAGCCACATCGTCCTCATGGCACCTCGCAGTTGATGCGTGGCTGTTCCGGGCTGCTTCTATCGTCTACTTGCAGATTATTACACGTGCGGTTTTGCAAGTTCCTCACCCTCAGTTTTCTGAATCGACGTGTTCTCTTCGCCCGTTTCTCCAGCCCCCCCCCCCCCCCCCCCCAAAACCTCCCACCCCTCGCGCCATCCCGGCCGATGCAGTGCCTTAAGATCTCGCTGCCGAATGAGTTTGTCGAATACTCCCAGATGACCTATGGAGGGTGTCAGCCCCCAGATGGTTCTCACTGGGTCCGTACTGAGGCGATCCCTGGCATGACCACAAATCGAACTCGCCCCCCGAAAGACCGATGCCGGTTTCTCTAAAGTCGCATGTGATGAGGCGAGACTGCCAAACTAATCGGGAGACTGCCAAACTAATCGGGCGTAGCTGTCCTTCATTGCCCTCAGTCTGGGGTGGGGGGGGGGGGGGGGGGGGTACAGTTCGTATTTCACATGTGACCACAAGAGGGGCGAATTTTGTTCAAGTTCATTTTTGCGGGGTACAGCTTGCTCTGCCAATACATGTAGAAAAGGCACGCTCGTATGAGTAGCGTTTTCTCTTGGCAAACCTATGTCAGAAAGCATGAATGAAGTATATGGTGAGCAATTCTACATAGGGGTGTCTTTGTTCGTAAGAAGACGTTGAAGACGTGCTGTTATTCTCAAAGAATGTTTTCTGATACCCAAAAAACGAAAAAAAAACCGAACACACCAAAACGACCGAAACCCCGCTTTAAAATCTGGCCTGACTTTGTGGTAAGCTTGCGAGCCACCATAGTTTCCGGCAACTCCACAAGTAAAGTCTATATTGGTATCTATATGGGAGGTTGGTCCATGTATACGTTGAGGTCTGGGGATCTCTTTCTGAGCCTGAAACGTAGCCACTGAAGATGAATAGGTGCAAAATGAAACGAAGGACAGCTACTGCGACACCCGCGAGAACGATGACCTGGGACAATCGAGAACTTTCGGCTTTAGCGTTGACGCAGCACTTTCTGCTTCAGCTGCAGATTCTGAAGAGAACTTGATTGGAAGCTTTTCGTTGGCACCACTTGCAGCCACAAAAGTCCTTTTTGAAACTGCAGAGATTTTGGGTGATAGCTGCGCTCGACGCAGTAAATAGTGGGCTCGACACATTTATTTGACAGACCTCTGATCGCCGTTGTAATCATTTTGCAACTCTGTCAACTCAGCTGACTTGCGAGCCTTTCCGTATTTCGCAAGTACCCCGCTCAGAACTGTCTTTTCCTTCCTACACAGGTAACCGAGGCAACACTTTCTGTACTTATGGCCTCGAGTTAGTTCTGGGAACCAAAGCATACAAACCCAGCATGCTTCCAATCCCCAGTCCTGATCAAAGCACCGCAAGCAGCAAAAGCCGCAAATGCCCGCCCAAAGCCCATAGCCCCAACCCCTCCTGCACCTAACAATCACATTGAGGGCCAAGCTTATCATCTGGACACGGCGCGCAACCTGCAAGGAGCAGCGTCGATTCGTGGCGAGGGCACTGGGTGGAGCTCACGTAATGTCCAAAACTGCGGCGCAGCCCGTATATCAGCACACCAAGCGGCATATACTCACCTTTGAATGCCTGACGGTATGTCTGACACATTCTGACACAACATACTTCGGCCTTGGTCCTTATGTGTACTGTGCCACTGCTTGCGGTCATAATGCCAGTATGGCCAGCCTTCGAATCGACAAGCACAACCAACGAGCACTCCGGCTGCTTTTTAGCCCGACACAACTGTGTGTTTCAAAGCCCCCCTCGCCTTTCAACTGCTCCGGGCAAGGCTGAATGCCTGACCTTAGAAATAGGACTTTTTCTATGCAGTGTTTCTACGCGTTGTCTCTTCTAATTCTCCCAGCGGATATGGGGAAACATTCTCCCCTCTCTCACTCTCTATTCTTCTTCTTTTTCTTCTTCCTCTACGGGGCATGAGGGGCCCAGGGGACCCCCCACGTGCCAGGCGCGCCCGCGCTCTCTCTCTCTCTCCCTCCCTCTCCGTCTCTCTCCTTTTTCTGTGTCTTGCTGTCTTTCATTCACAGGGCCTAGTGTTGGGAGATGGGCAGCTATTAGGCCGGGGTGGGAGGTCACCAACTCATAACTAGCCACCTGACCTCCCCTCACCGATCGGAGTCCAAGCTTGAAACTCTACAGTAAACTGGCTTTCCACAAAAACCCGCGCCCGTTTCTGCTGCACAGAACAGTCACACTGCGAGACACACTACTTATGCTGAAAAACTTGTGCCGCACATCCACTGGATGTTGAAGATCAGCCGCCTTTTCCTTTTCAGACGTCCAAACCATGAGATAGGCAGGCACACCCGAAACGAAGCAAGCACGCTGAATACCGGCTCGTTACAGAAACTGATGACGTGTGCTTCCGGGCATGTCGTTTGACAATCTAGCGAGGGAGCCGAGTGCCACCTCTGGGCCGGTGCCAGCGTTCATCTTGTGCTGAAAGACCATCTGTGAAGAGGTACAAGGGGAAGATCACCGCCCTTTCACTAGCTGTTCAAAGCTGTGTGTATTTTTCTTTCGGCACGCGGGCTTCTGTGCCTTCAAAAAACTCGGAGTGAAGACGAAGCTCCACTTAATGAAGCCGTCAAGACAACCAAGGAAATTACGCCACCCTTTTTGCCGTTCTTTCGACTTGAGTGGTGGTGGTGAGAGTTGAACGTTTGGGCATCAAATGATTGAAGGATCCGTTTTGAAGTTGCCTTTTGGTTTCTTTCAAGTGGTAACAAGACGGGCGCTGCTTTTGCGTCTACTTGAAAAGATGTCCGCCAGTGCTCGGACTATAGCTGATGTTACTTATCTCTCGATGCACAACGTTTACTCCCTAACTATCTGTTCTCCATCGTCTTCCGATTCAGATGCGCAACGGGTGCTGAGAGCCACATTTCCTGAAGTGCCGGCAGTCGCTGGATTTTTGGGTCTTTGTGCCCTTCTTCCCTTCCATTCGGGTCGATGTAGGAGCTTCCTTTCTGGCTTCGTTAAAGCCGAACCCTTTGAATAACAAAGAGTGGGTCGACGGAAATTTCTGACAAGCTAAGGTGAACTCCCGATTACTGCTGCACTTCGGAGAAACATGTTTTCTGAGCCTCTAAGAAACTCAGACTCTAAGATTCAGCCCAAAGAGCCCAAAGCCTTGACCACCCACCTCTCCACACTTTCAACTGGAGTACTGGGTGCAGGGCCACTTGTACCGTAGGTCCACAGCCATGTTTCCTACCTGAGGCAGGTAACACACCAGGGTTTTCACTTGACTTGGGCAATCCACGCGAAGACAGATCCAAAGGGACTTGCCAAAATCTGCCCACGAAGAATTCACAGAACCCCAAACCTGTCCCATCACTCGCAACCCTCTTCTCGGAGGCCCTTAGCTCGCAGCATGGTCATTCTCCAGGGAAAAAATCACGTCACAATGAAGTGCCCCCTTCCTGGGCCATTCTCATCTACGGATAACTACGGTGCTACAAAGGCAGCAGAAACAACAACAAACAGTGGAGAACAGGAGCGAAGTTTCTTTGTAGCTGCAGCCTGAAAACAGCACCGTACAGGGGCCCCTGCAGCCAGCAAAAGGTTGCGGGCGTGATTGACAACTCACGAAAGCCAAGGGGACGTCTAAGCCCTAGCCAGTCTAAGCCCCGTGTCCGACAACAACAGCCCTTTCACCAGGATCTGCTTACGTCTTGCGTGTCTTGCGTGAGGATGTGGAGGCTACAGCCTTCGGGCCCCAGTTCACCTCTCGACTGGACAATGTCAAAACATTGTTAACAGGCCCACTTTCATCCCAAATGGTAGGATGCAATGGACGACCTCCCTCTGATCCGAGCTTGTGAGGCAACAGTGGGACACTGAGCGCCGTGCACTCGCAGCCACCTGGCACAAAAAACTAAATCAAAGGATGCGAAACCCTGCCCTTGGGGGTGCTGCTTGCCGAACTGGATTCTACTGGTTCACACAGGGCTAGCTCAACTCTCCAACCGTAGTTTCTTCACATGCTTTCTGGATTTCGAGATCACAAGGCTTGGGACTAAAATCTCTGCTGACATAAGACATACGTATGTGGAATACACAACAACCCACAGCATTGGACATGGACATTCGCGGCCGCTGCATCATACCTTTGCCGGGAACCCAGTCCGAATGATGGTCATGCTGAACAATACCCAAACTCCAAGATGCCCCGCAGGGACGAGCAGTTTCAAAACACTTTGAAAGCGTCACCGAATCAAAGATGTGCCACACACGACCACATGTGGTGTTTGCAGGGGATGGTCACCAGTCATGAGGTTCCCAACGGCGGCTGTAGACAGTACTTTGCGTATGGCTTTTACGCTCTGCAAAAGTGCCAGCTGCTCATACAGTCAGGGTAAGGTTTTGGCAGCACAGCTTTGCTGGCTCTGCTGCTCTTCGCCTTCTCTTCAGACCTTGAGCACTAATTAAGGCCGGAGATGTGTTGTACCATCAACCCGCAAGCAGCACAAGTCACAAACGTGGACCCTAGCCCAGCCGCAACATGAAACAGAGGCGCTGCACAACACGGGGTAAAGACACCGATTTTTGCCCGACACTCCCAAAACCCCCTTCCTAAAACATTAAAAAAGTATGTTAAGACTGAAACACCAAGTTGGTGTTGAACACCACCGCCAAGGCCACAGGGTGAAGGAGCCGTTCTTCGACTCCGGGTTGCCGCCTCGCTTGATCTTTACTTGGATTTCGCCTTTTCCCTGGGATTGAGAGCAACCTTTGAGAACTTCGAGCAGTTTGAGGAATGCTACGGTTTCGACTCTTCCGGGCACAACTTGGGCTCCACTGGGACAAGGCCCAACACTTAAAGAAGTGCTCCTTGGGCTGAAAGACGCCGAAAGCCACGAGACCGAGTGGCGGTTACAGGACTTTTATGGGCAAGGTTGCCCTGAGACACCCCTCGGGTTTCGGGACTTGGTGTCAAGGTAGTCCATGGTGTGTCTGAGCAATGGCGTTGGGCGTCCGAGGTCTGTTCATACTTCAACACTGCCAATGCCCTTTCCAAACACTGAAGCCATCTGAAGCCGAAATCCTTCCCTACATTTTCAACCGGCAGCATTGGCTGCAGACAGTTGAGCAGTGGGCCAGATCACGCTGTGATTGCAGCGCATACACAGAAACTAGAGGTTTCCAGCCGCGATGATTGTCTCTGCGTCCAAGCTGCTCCAGGACCACTGGGCACCATGAGCGTGGACTTTGTGTGCCTCGAGCAGTTTGTTGAGCGGGCTCGCTGGCGTTCTGAAGCCCTTTACGCCCTTCATGCTGGAAAAAATCGCCTCAGCCACCTGGCAGGGGAGTACAACTCCTGAGGAGACAGCCTGGCTTCACAACCCTAAGCCGAAAAGCCCACAAGCTCTCGATTCCGACACCGAACAGGCTTCCTAGATTTTCGTGGGGCACCGACATTTCGAAAATGGCTCCATTCATTCACGAAGCTCCAAGCGCTGAATGCATGTTGCGAATGCTGTCAAAGATCCAAATGATCCGAGTCATTGGCCCACTGTTCAACATTTTTAGTTCAGGCCTTGCATGTTGATTGACGCTTCACACAGATGGTCGAATGCTCGCTTGCAACTACCTCACTGCATGGCGTCACTCATCGTTCTGCAACTCACGTGGCCCTGCCCCACCCCCTTTTCACTCCCAACCCCAGCACCTGAAGTCCAAAACTCTGCAACGGACCAGGACTTTCAGAGATTTGCGCCTCCTGGTTCAGGAGCCCACCACTTCGGCCTGTGATACAGGTTTGAGGGCCGCATTCTTGGACAAAAATGTAGCTTCCATCAGCTTCCCTGATTCATCGGTAGAAGGCTTGTCGCGGCAAGGCTTGCAGGGCAGTTAAACTTGCCTAAGCAAACTTGCCTAAGCAAACTGGCAGGCGGCTGGCCTGCTCAGGCTCTTTGCTCTTTGCTCTTTGCTCTTTGCTCTTTGCTCTTTGCTCTTTGCTCTTTGCTCTTTGCTCTTTGCTCTTTGCTCTTTGCTCTTTGCTCTTTGCTCTTTGCTCTTTGCTCTTTGCTCTTTGCTCTTTGCTCTTTGCTCTTTGCTCTTTGCTCTTTGCTCTTTGCTCTTTGCTCTTTGCTCTTTGCTCTTTGCTCTTTGCTCTTTGCTCTTTGCTTTGCTCTTTGCTCTTTGCTCTTTGCTCTTGCTCTTGCTCTTGCTCTTTGCTCTTTGCTCTTTGCTATTGCTCTTTGCTCTTTGCTCTTTGCCTCTTTGCTCTTTGCTTTGCTCTTGCTCTTTGCTCTTTGCTCTTTGCTCTTTGCTCTTTGCTCTTTGCTCTCTTTGCTCTTTGCTCTTTGCTCTTTGCTCTCTTTGCTCTTGGCTCTTGCTCTTCTGCTCTTTGCTCTTGCTCTTTGCTCTTGCTCTTTGCTCTTTGCTCTTTGCTCTTCTCTTTCTCTTTGCTCTTTGCTCTTTGCTCTTGCTCTTTGCTCTTTGCCTTTGCTTTGCTCTTTGCTCTTTGCTCTTTGCTCTTTGCTCTTGCTGCTCTTTGCTCTTTGCTCTTTGCTCTTTGCTCTTTGCTCTTTGCTCTTTGCTCTTTGCTCTTTGCTCTTTGCTCTTTGCTCTTTGCTCTTTGCTCTTTGCTCTTTGCTCTTTGCTCTTTGCTCTTTGCTCTTTGCTCTTTGCTCTTTGCTCTTTGCTCTTTGCTCTTTGCTCTTTGCTCTTTGCTCCTTGCTCTTTGCTCTTTGCTCTTTGCTCTTTGCTCTTTGCTCTTTGCTCTTTGCTCTTTGCTCTTTGCTCTTTGCTCTTTGCTCTTTGCTCTTTGCTCTTTGCTCTTTGCTCTTTGCTCTTTGCTCTTTGCTCTTTGCTCCCGTCCACATGGACGTGTTGGACAAGTCTACGATTTTAATGCAGGAGTACTGCAGGGATCGCTCCCAGGTCCTAAGTCACGGGAACCCACGTGCTTAAGATGTGGTAGCTGTGGTACTCCACACCCTTTGTGATGAAAGAGATCGCCGAAGTATGAAGCACAGGAGGCCCTGATCGCTTTCGTCCAGCTGGCCACTTGGACTTGTCAGGTTATTGCCACACCAGTTCTGCATTACGAGTTGGTATCAACAAAGGATCGTGATTATCCAGATTTGCAGTTTGTTCTCGGACTTTAGAAAAACTGAATCTGAGGGTGCGACCGAGGAGAGTCTCGCTGTGGTCGCCAGCACATCGGGCGGACCTTGGGTGTGACTCCGAAGGGCCTTTACGGGGGCAAAGAACGCAACGCCTACACACAAAACGCCTGGAACGCAACGGAAGCACATGAAGCACGTGGCAGCAAGTGGCAGCAAGTGGATGGAAGCACAGGCGTAGGTGATACAAACTTCAAAGCCCCTCAAAGTGATACACAGTACCGCAAGGCTGAACGTTGAACAGCAGCTCCTTCACTCTAGCATCCAAGGCCCGCCACAGCTTTGCCGACCCCGGCGAAGACGACATTGACTCACAAAGCGCCTGCTGGAAATTCAGCGTGAAACTTCAGATTTGGGATTGATTTGGAACAGTTGCTCGTCACACTCGTGCTTGCACTGGCTTCTTAATCCTTGTTCCGTGAGCCCCTAGATGTTCTTTCACTTTTGCATCTTTAAATGCAGCGGCCTCCACGAATAGATCCACAGTGCCATTCTGCACTTCCCACGTGAACTGGCCTTGGGCCCTGTCCAGCAATAGAAGCAAGCATAGGATGGGTGCTTGGAGACTTGCGGCACTCCGACCACCGACTTGCAACTGAAACACAATGCAAAACCACTCTAGCCAGATGCGCTGCAAATTCAGCAGGAACAATGTACAGACATGGCACATCATGGCCCTCATGAGCATTTACATATCCCGCTGTCTACCGTATGGTGCACCACGGATGTCCCTACAGGGACTTAGACTTCGCGAACCACCAGAGCTCTGGGTCCAGGGTCAGCTGGTCTTGGATTCGATTGTGTGGTATGCCAGCAGTCAATCGGATGTTATGCTTGTGAACGGTAGGCTGCAATCGTTTGTCCCCCCCAACCCCCCCCCCCTCCCTGCCCCCTCCCGCACGCCTTGCCCTGGAAAACAACCCCCTGCAAACAAAAAATCCTCTCATGGGGTGCCCTCCTGAAATAGGGCTCCCAGCGCTGCCCGTGGTGACAGGATCATTGACTTCCGACCCTTGCCTGGCACTAATTTCAAGAAAGTGTGCTGCTGATGCTGGCATCTGTCTATACTGCACAGCTTCAGGAAATGAAAGAAGGAAACTCCAGTACTGGTGTAAACTTAATTTCCAAGTTGCGAGCTGACTACGCATGCAGTACAGAGCTTGCTATCTGACAGCCTAGACCACTCCTAATTCTCAGGCCGCCTCCAAGGCAATCCATGACCAGTGGGTCCTCTCTGAGAAAAAGGCTTTCAGGTGTTACAAAGCTAGTCGCTGCTGTACTCTGCTTTCTGCCAAGATTGATTCGAGCTTCAATGACAAATTCTGGGGGCTCCAGGCGTCATTGTTGCAACCACAGTGCAGGCTTGGAGAGTCAAGGCTGCTGCCCTTGCCGCAATATGGGTCTGCTGGCGACAGACCCCACAATTTTTCCCCGGACAGGGTTTCAGCGGTGTTCACGATGCTGACAGGCTAATAGAAGATCTGGGGTGGCGCTTCGCAGCGGACAGAAACCCCAGCATCCTTCTGGTAGAAGCCCTTGCTGCACAGCAGGTGATGCTCTTCACCTTGGTCAGTCAAGGGCCGTTGGGATCCGTTGGGGCTGTTGGTTTGGCGAGCTGCCATCTTTGCAGAAACCAACCGGCTTTCACAGGTCCTGGACTAGAAGCCTAGCCGTGCACATCCTTCACTCCTTCATGTGCATGGATTGCACGGACGCAAGCAACGTTCGAAGTCGGCTAGCTTCACCGCAGGGCATTGTCTCAGTGGCAAAAAGGAGTCTTCTTTGGCATACTGTGTCCCAATCTTTAGTCGTCACCCTTAAGCATGATGCCTCTGCATAGCTTTGGTGCGGTAAGGGCGAGGAGAAGCCACAGACTCGTCCGACCTCTTGGCTCAGGAGGCTGGCAGTTCTTCAGGATTGCCCCATGCTGTTGGATTTGTGTTGCTCCATGATACAGGAAAGGAAGACTGGTTGGATGCTTGCCGACCAAACTCAGTAGCCCTTGTTGGACGCATTGCAAGTGCCCACAAGCTTCGCCACACAATTCTCGGGCCGTGCTCGGCCTCTGACCATGTTTCTCTGCAAATTTAAAGTCCGGCATGGAGGGGTCCACGAAGCTTCTTGAGCTTGCTTGGTGAAGTCTTCACCCCGTCACTCTCACCCACTTTGGTTCGCAGTTCGTTGAGCGGGCTATTCAAGAGTAGGGTGCAAAATGGCTCACCTCCCTCTCTAACCACGACACCGCGACTAGCAGTCTAAAGGTCTGCAAAAATGAGTCCCCCTTGCCATCATTGGTGTTGTAAAGCTCGCAGCTGAAACTCCCATACTTACTTTTCCCTAAGCCCTAACCGCCAACACCCCACATGGAACTGGCCTCGCAAGGCTCCTCGAAGCATGGCCGGCGCTCCCGTTGTCACATGCTGCAAAGCCTTATTCGCCTTAACTTGGAGATTACCGGAAAAAGCGTTTGAGTCTGCTACCACGACCTTGCTGATGGGATGGTGGGAGTAAGACGGGCTTGGAGTCTTCTTGGAATCTTCCTGTTGCTGCGTGTCTTCCTGTTGCTGCGTGAGCTGTGTCACTGCTGTGTCACTGGTTCACCTTTCGTTCCGAGTGTACTCACTCTCAATCTCTCTCAACGGGCCCAAGCAGGGCCTGCGAGAACAAGGCACAGGGGCAGGTCTCCTTAAAGGAGTCACTAGCAATCATGCAGAACTTATCGTGCCTCAGATAGTCGAAAAGAGTTGGGCAATGGTTCGGGATTGGAACTTCTGTCCTCAGCTCTTCAACATCGAAACCGAATTTCAACCGGGGAGGGCGGGGGAAAGAAATTGTCATAGCTTGAGCTTGTGGCCCTGATACCTGGGAACCATGCCCTGGAGATCTCACTGAGCCAAAAAAACGCATCAACTCTTGCTGATTTTGCTTCAGCAAGGTGTTTGTGTTTTTTGCATTTATCTGAAACAGATCTAACATCTAACACTTCCACCATCCGCACTCAAAAGATCATCAGATAGGGGGGGGGGGGAGAGGGGGCGACGACCGCTTGAGGAGGTCGCAGGCGCCCGTCACTTCCATTGCCATGATCAGCGACTGTCCGACTCTGCAGTGGCAGATCTGTCATGGTCTGATGCTCATCATTCTCCTCCGCCTCTGCGGCGTGGGCTTCCTAGACATTCTGGGCATACTGCAGCCAGTACCTGCACGACCACCATGATGTCTGGTGCATGCCCTCCTTCAATGAGGCTGCAGGCTGCGGATACGAAATACTCAACATACCATCCCTGGCAAACGAATACAGTCGCTAGCGGCTAGCGCGTTCTGTCGGTGTGTTTTTGTATCGTCAATCAGGTGTCCGAAAAAGTACTTTTCGATGTCTTCCCTGTTCGTTGGTTTGGGTGTGCTTGTCAATCTGAGCATTCTTTGTGTTCAGTGCCTTTTCTGTTTTAACCTTAAGCGGGTGGTGGATAGATATCATCATCGTGTGTTCATGCCATTCCCACGTACTGGTAACATGGATGTAGTCATCGTGTGTGCATGGAACGATCGTGTGGGCACGGATGGATTGGCGAACGCATGCAAGTATGGGCATGCATGGATGCTTTGGCCATTCACACGCGCTGGAAATATGGACGTAGTCATCGTGCGTTCATGGTTGCTCTGGCAATTCCCACGCACTGGTAACATGGACGCAATCATCGTGCGGGCAGGCCTGGCCCAAGCAAAAAACACGAGCCGCTTTTTAATTTTTTTTCGGTAATTACGTGGCTGGCTGAGCAGAAACAACAACACGGGGATCGCCCAGTCGCTCGTGTGTCGAAGTCTGTGAACGGGTACTTTCCAAATCATTGTATTAAGAAGAGAGCAGGCAGCTGGGTGGGAGTAGAACTCGGATCGTTTGAGGACGCTGTGTCTGACTGTGTTTTCAGCGTGATGTTGGGAGAATGTAGCATGGTCTGGTTAAAAGAACTCAGGAAAACATGAAAGGAAGTCGTCAATCCACTTGGTTCGTCAGCCTTTTTCTGCCAGAGCTCGTCGAACTGAAGATTGGCAACATGGAAACGCGCGTGATAACAAGTGTAAGCTTCCCTATTCATCCAAGCCGCATCCAGCACAATCGGATTGACTAACAACAGCAGCTTTATACCCATGAGAGGCAATAACGGAATGCACGAGCAATGCTGCAGCAATCATCCCATCCCTCCTGCACTCCACGACTCCACGTCCCGGACTCGCATTTTTAGCACAAACCGATCCTTTGCAAGTCTGGCAGCGGGGCGATGACACGCTCAACATCTGCAGGGTCCACGCTGTCCAGGTCTGCCATCCACCGAGGTAGCTTGTCTTTATCAATCCTAAGCTCTTTGACGCATTTTGCAAATGCAGCTTGACAACCAATGCTGTTGAAACCCAAATTTTGCTCCAGCTTGAAGATCTTATGTCGGGCCCCCGGACGCTGATCAAACGCAAAATGCTGCGACGGCTTATGATCTAAAGCAGAAAGGTATCAAAGCTGCTCGCACACCCTCGTAGAAGTCGCCTGCCCGGACAAGCCTTTCAAAGATGGGACACAACTGATTTCCATGATGGGGAGCTCCCGGCAAATGTCACTCAACATTGATTTCGCACCCGCTCTCAATCCTGGAATGCCGCAACCGGACAAAACGTCACTATGACATTCGAAAAGCAGGTACAACAGCACTACGGAGCTTCCGAGAAGCACAACAGATAGCAATGCTATGCAATGCTCGAAAGGCTTTAAATAGGTAACATTGCCCTCTGTATCCGGCTCCTGCTCGCTCCCTTCTCGCCTGGGTGGAACCGCACACGCACGCGAGCACGCACACGCATACTCCCGGGCGCTCGACTTCTCCTCAACTCACCTCACTCACTCACTCACCCACCCCACCCACACACATGCCCACGCAACCACACACCCCGACCCGAAGAGCGCACGCCTCGTGAGGGCAGCATAGTCTCGCTCCAGGGCCCTGCAAAGCAGGTCATGGCCTGGGCCACTGAAAGTGGACAGAAAGGCTTTTTGGAGCCAAGACACCCTGGTAGAAGCTCCCTCGGCGAGGTCCACCGCAGGCTACAACCGATAGTTACTGAGCTATTGTTGCTTAGTATTGGGTTTAGCTCAGTCGACCAGGGCACGAGAATTTCAATCTTTCCTCCTGTGAACTTGGAAACAGTTGACAAGCTTGCAGACCCAGTGTCAATGCACAGTGAGCACGCACTATAACACTGACTGGAAACCACATTATCAGTGCGCTGAGTGTCGATAGTTCTCAGGGTCTTGATGAAGCTGGCACTCCCGGTCTACATCAGACTGCGCTTGATCCATGAGACGCTGCACGACCTCCTGCGTGAGGGGGCATCCCTGGTCAAAGCCGGAGAGTCTCTGCTCGACCCAGGACTTGATCTCAGGTCCAAGTCCGGAGTCTTGCGACAGGGCGCCTAAGCGTTCCCGGATAGCTTTGGCAGTTGTGGATGGAGCGAAAGTCGTCCTCAGCACATCGCGCACTGCCGCAGCCGACCCAGGCTCTTGTATGTGCAGTGTCTCTTGCTGCAGTGCCTCGACGAGATGGGCTCTGAATGACTCACCCTTGCTTTCCTCATAGTCCTTCAGCTTGTCTTTCAAGGCCTTGAGCCTTTCTGAGGGCACCAGGTGCGTGGCCAAGCCTGTAGCCAGTGCTTCTGGCCCTGTGAGGCGCCAGCCAGTCAAAGCCATGCACCGGCCGACACCTGGTGCGCCCTCTAGTGCCATCAGAGCTGCCATCGCGCTGAAGCCCACATCAGGGGAGATGCCGATGGCGCACTCGGGCATGGCTAGGACCGATCGCTCCGTCACCACCCGGAACTCAGCAGCACAGGCCAAGCCGAGACCGTAGCCCATGCAAATGCCATCCGCAAAGGCCACCACTGGCACTCCAGCATGCCTTCTGCGGCTGAGGGCTGCTACAGCCCGGTACTCGTGGCAGAGCTGCAGCTTGGGCAGCGGGGTGTCCGGGTTCTCCTACAGAGCCAGACTTTCGGAGAGATTTTATAGACCATTATAGAGGTTTCAGGTGCCCAATGTTGCATTTCGGGTTTCCCATCGTGTTAAGCAGCGTTCGGTGCGTGTCACCTACATGCCCCAGCAATGAGGAGAAAAACTTTCTACGTACTCATGAACCGACTACTGTCCACTTGCCAAAACACAAACTTTCTCACTCTGGAGCAGGTTCCTTCAAGGCTGCAGCCACTGCCTTCACATCTCCACCAGCACAAAAGGCTGCCTTGCCCGGAGCTCCAGCATCTGAGCCTTGCCTGTCATGAACTTGAAATTCATGTCGCTTCTGCCCAAGCCCAGCCTCAAACCGCATCTCCCCTGACAAACAATCTACTTTTGGCAGATCTTTAGTCATGGGCAGCCAGCATCACTGCCACCAGAACTTGCAAGCAGTTTCGAAACGTTTGGACATGTCAGTGCACATCCATGCCGTATGAATGCCACATGCTGCCATATGCACCTAGGTTGGGAGCCCGGGCCACGGAACGCAACAGGCAAGACAAGGGCACTGTGGTATACTGTGGTGACACATGTGAAGAAACCGAAACAGCCAGCCCAAGCTTCAGCAGTCGGGTCACAAAAGGATCAGCTTCGCATCAAGACGGTTGGCTGCTTCTCCTATGGCTTTGGCCATCAGCGGGTCGCACGCGTTAAGCGCTTTTGGGCGGTTGAGCCTCGGATGTGCCAGATGTTCTGAAAACTTCTCAGCCTGACGATTCCAGGAGACTCTAGTCAAGAGAGAGATAGCCGCATCACAGATCCAAGATATCCAAGAACAGATAAGAACAGCCAGGACGCAGGATCGTGTGTAACCCCGATGTTGCACGCTCGCTTTGGATGAACTCGCAGGGTTCGCTCATTCTCCTTAGAATCTCCTGGTTGCTGGGCTGGAAGATGCGACTCCGGACGTAGGCCTGCGCAGCCTGTCTTACAACTTCGGCTGCTGTAGGGTAAGGATGAATGGTTCCAGCAAGCTCATCCGCTGTGAGGTCGTGCTGCATGCAGACGGTGACTTCAGAAATGTGGTCGCCTGCGTTTGGGCCGACGATTGTTGCACCCAGGATCTTCCCATTCCGTCCGACGTGAAGACTGGCGAAGCCTTCCGAAACTCCCTCCTTGGCCAGCACATACAACTTTAGGTCACATGCGCGCAGATCCCATCTAGAATCTACCATGATCCATGATCCATAATCTCCTTCCCCTTCATAACCCCTCCCGCTGTACTTGTACCCCCCCCCCCCTCTCCTCCCCTTGTAGGAACCGCTCCCACAGAGACCGGCACACGAACCTTGCTGGAGCGATGCCTCCTACTGCGATGTGCACGCTACACCCCTGCCTTGGGCCAGCTCGGCTGGCGAGGCGGCAAGCGCAAGCTTTTACAAGTACTTTTGCATTTAAAGCTCCTATGCAGTCACGAGGGCAAATATGGGCCAAGTGTGTAAGCATGCATCGGGACTGACCGAATAACAAGTACAGTATCGTCAGCATTGTCCCGGCATTCTTCTCAGGTGCCGTCCAAGTTTCGCAGCGAAATCGATCGACATCAGCTGCTTGCCGTACGTATGTCTCGAAATTTACACCTGGATGAACAAGTAAGAAAAAACGGAGTTTTTTGGGACCCTCCGCAGCCATCGTCGCAAACTCGTCTTATAAGAGTCCTGAAACCGTTGAAGCTGGTTGACATCGTTTGACACACTGATTCGCCCTGTGATATTTGAGAGCTCGCCTTCCAAGCGCAGCTGCGCTGCCGAGCGACCAACAGAGGCCACCTTCTTGGGATCTCAAATGGAAGCCGTGGTGGTGTTGTCGCACGTCTCAGACAAAACTTGTTTGTTGCCTGTCTAGCGAAGCCCCGCGGGCCCGTGGGGCATCCAGACTTCATAATTGACAAGCCCGACATGTCTGCCATCTACCCGGAAAGACCAAAGCAAGATGGACAGCAGCAGGAGCAACTCCATAACGATAATGAGCTAGCTAGCCGCTAGCTCACTTGCCATCTACAGCACTGAAGCAAACTTGCCTGCAAAGGACCTGCTTCCATTCACAGTCACCTAGCCAACAAATCCCATAAAGATCCATAAGCATCACAACAAACTCGGTAAGTGCCAATACTGCTATCCGTGGCTGTCATCCAGGCCCTCTTCACGGTTACTGTTCCGGGGATAAGGCGAAGGCCTCCGGATCCGTGTACGTCGCACGAGGTACCAGCAGCCTCGATGGGTAACGCAGAGCGTAGGGCACGAATGTCTCATCAGCACATGCACGGCTGGAAAACGTCCTACAGCTTGGACTGACAGATCTCGATGCTGCATGAGTTTCAAGCCCCACTGATAAGCCTTGCCGTCCTACTAGCAACTTCAGTCGAACGGAAATCCTAATCATACGGGCTTCCCCATTCCCCTTCCGCTTCCCCTTCTGCTTCCCCTTCCATTGAATGTTCCTAAGCCCTCTAAGCTCTGACAACACAGGGCTGTTAAAAGGCTGAAACATCTGCGGATCATGATCAAGCAACTCAAACGTGGGATTTTCCCCTACCTTTTGAATTGCCCGGCAGGCCTGGGCAGCTTCATGCTTTCGGCTGAAAGCTTGCAAGTTTGCTGTGCATGTCAGGCGATGCTAGATTTGGTCCTCTTTTTCTCTCCCCAACCTTATAGAAGGATATCGCCTGCAATTGTTGAGAGCTCCGGATTGCACTAGCCTGTCAGCATGCTGTGCTTCCAGTATGCTGCATTGTTGTCTGCTATTGCATCCTTACAGCAATGGTTGTAACTGGTACATTGGTACATCACTCTTCGTGCAATTGTCGCTCGGCCGCACCTTCTTGCATCCAGCTCTTCCCCCAGCATTGCGTTGCGCACGGCAACGCGGGCTTGCCACTCAGCAGCGTGGGTGAAGCGGCTGCCATCTGGCAAGCAATCGCCGGCGGCGAAAACATCGGGGTTGGAGGTCTGCAGCCTGAGCTTATTCAATGCGGCAGCCGTGCACGAAAACGCAGCCACCGCCTTGCACACATTGATATCATTGAACACCATACCAACTGTACTGTACGCCGAAGCCGAACTTGAAACTCGGGCTGCAGTTCTCGGGAAGCACTTGCACACAGGGCCGAGAAACAGTGCATTGACTTCAAGACCGTCATTGTTACCACGGATTCCAGCCGCGGAGAGGTCAAGGCCTGTGGTGCGCGCGACGCGGCCGGTAGCATTGAGAAGAGCCTCCGCCTTCGGGGACGACATGTGCCTGGATTTGGCTAAAGAGGTTTGGGTCCACTGTGACTGAAGGATGTGTGATGGGGAGGTTTGGAAAGCCTGCCTCCAGATAGTGGCTTGCACCATTGCCATCGCGATACTCCATCTGGTAGGTGCCAAATGGAGCCTCATACAGGTCCGTGCAATCTGAGCCTTCTTGAGGCGATCTCCTGTGCACGGCCACCATCGTCGTCCTGGGTCACGCAACTCGAGGTTGTTTGGCTTTTTGTGTGTGTTGTTGTATCTATTGTTTGACGTCTTTGAGCTGAAATCCGATGGAGATTTGAGGCTTCTTGGGTTGCCTAGGACAAGTGGCAACTCGGTTACGTTACCACCTCTACGAAACCAAACTAGAATACACAAGACCGCACAAGAAATGCTAGCAGCTAGCAAACCGCAGCAAGCAGCACAACAAACAACAGCTACCATTTTCAGAGGGCGCTCGGCGAGCAGAATGTGACCCCATCCCGCATCAGCGACTTCTTGATCAACTGGGCAGCCTCAGGCTCCTCTGCGCTCCAATGTCACACAATGTGTGCAGAGGGGGCAATCCAGCAATCTGTGGGGAGGACCATTGTGGAGGGGAAATTGAGGATGAGCTCGGGCGTTTGCAGGATTCCTGGCATCAGATAAAATGCAAGGGAGGACTGCCGCTCAGGTTCCTTATCGTTGAGTTCCGGGATTCCCTGTGCGCTTCTATGAGGGTAGGGTAGCATAGAGTAACCTGCAGGGCAACGCTCCTCTTTGCCCATCACACGGCCAGAGCTGCCAGTAACTACAGTGACCTGGCTACCCAGCCGCTGCATGGCCTGAGCGATCTCCAGGCCGATGGTTCCGGCCCCCATTACCTCAGACTACTGCTACTCACTTCAAGCCTGGCGCTCCCCAAAAGTCAAAAAAGCAGGAATGGAGTGGGTCCGTTGGAAACCGTTTTCGGAGACCCAACGATAGAGGGATGCCCGGAATTTCTGAATAGGAGATGAGGAACGATGAGCCTGGGTGGGCGAGATCGCAAGTTCCAGAGGTTCGAGCTGGTTAAGTGTGGGATGCCCTTCAGCTGCTCAGGCACCTTGGACTGCTTGGACTGCACAGGGTGTGGGGAGGCGCGTTGAATGCGTTGAATCGGCTGTTGTAGCTTGGCTGCAGCTATTTCTACGCATTGCGGGGCACCTTAGCAGTCGCGCCAGTACCCAGAATGCACTTCCGGAAAAGCAGCGTCTCACCACCATCCAGCGCAATCTCGTTGCTAGCCTTGAACTTCGCCCGTCCCGAGAACACGTCGACGCCGACATCCACCGTGTAGCGGTGCACGGAATCGTGTTCAGAGATTTCAGCACGAATTTGTCGCATGCGCGACATGACTGCCTCGTGGTGTGTCACATGGCCAGGCCACCCCATGACATGCAAGCCGGCAACATGCGTCATGATCTGCGCTGACAATCTGCAACAAGAAGTTCTTCTGCAAGGATTCCAAGGCCCTGTGAGCAGAACCCATAGCACAACCGATGTGCACCTCACCCCAAACTCCAACCTTCACCTCTCCTGAAATTACTTCTTCGAGCCTTCACTATCCTTAAACTTATGCCTGGCACATGTCGGGCTTTGTGGTGCTATTCCATCCCAGCGTCCTCGAAGTCCACAGTGATGTCATCCGACCTGAGGTTCTTAAGAATCGCTTCTCAAGCTTTGGGCAAAGCGAAAGCATCCTACACGCTGCATCTCCCAAGCCATCTAAAGAAACTAAAGCTCATACGTCTTTCAGCCCCTAAGCCCTAAGCTGCAAAAAGCTGTCACAAGCCAAAAGCTGTCCTGTTCCCCCCTGCTCTGTATTAACCACTGAACGCCTGGCAATTCACAGCATCTTTCCGTAAGCCTGCACGGAATCGTGGGTGCCCGTGACTGCCAAACGGCACAAGAATCATATGAGGCTCGGGTGAGGCTTGTAAGGCTCCGGCTTGATCTCTACCCCAAACCGGCCGCCATCGCGGACTCTGTGCGCTGCCTGCGCGGCCGCAATCAGCGCCTGGGAAGGAAGGCCATAACTTCGAAGATGCATTCGTTCCGGCTTTCGGATCCAGACACAGAAATGTCCGCAACAAATGCAGCCTTGGATGGAACACAACCGGTGTTCAGACAGTCGCCACCCATGTAGTGCTGTTCCTGAGCCAGCAGGAGTACATGAAAACCAACATGACCACTGATAAAACTGGCTGCCACCACGTGTTAGCAAGCACGGCGCCACAAGCCAGCTGGAGCAGACGAGGCGCAACTAAAGCAATCTTCCGTCCCAACTGCCTGCCAACGATGCCTTGGTCTGCAGATACTGACTCCTACGCAGCCCCGAAGCCCGTGAGGAGAATTCTCTCACATCAAGACTTCCGATGTTTCATCGTTTGGAATATAATCCGTTCCCCCTAATATAAAAGGCGCCCCCCCTTGTATAAAAACCCCCGAAGGGTTTTTAGTATTAGGGGGGGTTCTTATCGCTTGTCCGAGAAACCAGCCCGTCCTTATTGTAGCATGCTGGCTCAGCAACCAAGCCTGGGCTTAAGCCTGACCCAGCCGGTCTGCAGACCCAGGCCAGAGAGAGATCAGACGTGTTTAAGTGAATGACAGTTCAAGCAAGGTAGGGAAGACCAGCTGCATTGAGAGGCTGTGTGCAGCATGGCCAGCGACCAGACCGAGGTTGCAGACAACGAGGCTCACACTGTCTGAGTCAGAGGCAACCTAATTAATTAGCCCGAAAGCAGCCAGGACGCCCTCGTCGAGGCCTTGGTGAAGCAGACCGAGTTGCTGACAGCTCTGGTCACAAGAAGAGAGCTTGCTGCCAGGCTGGGGGCAGAAGGCACAGAGGTGGCAGACTTGGAGAGAGAGAGTCCTGCAGAGAGCTCGCAGCCTTCGCAAACACAGAGTTCGCAGCCTCGCAAGAGAGAGGTGCCCGATCTCGAGAGAGAGAGTCTTGCAGACAGCTCGCAGCCTTCAGCAAGACAGAGTTCGCAGCCTCGCAAGAAACCTCACATCAGCCCAGCAGTGAGGTCGCAGCACTCACAGGAGCTTCAAACTCCTGAGCTGAGCAGAGAGAGGGGTCTGAAGCGCCCCTCCAGCTTTCAGACACCCACTCCTAAGAAGCTGTTTCAGAGTCCCTCCAGCCAGGACACTGTAGTTCGTGACAGGCAGCTTCAGGAGTTGAAGGAGACCATGCCCAGTGACATTCCTGTCTTTTACAGACTGGATTACCTGTGGGGCAAAACCAAAAATCCACAAGCTCGGCCCAATCTCAGCCCACCCTTAGCCTCGCAAAAAGCAGAAGCAGAAGCTGCAGCCAGGTTGCAGCTTGTGGAGTCTGCGGCCGAAGAGGCTGCAGCCAGGCTTGGCACGCAGGCTGCAGTTCCCAAGGCGAGGAACAAGGGTGGGAGGCCCAAGGGTCGCAAGCAGAACCCAGCCAGAAAGCCTTTGCCAGGCCTTCGCAAGAAGCGAGCAGATGTCACGGCCAGAGGCAAGCTGAAGCTGATGAAGGATGTGGACCGCATGATTGCTGCAGGCAGCTCCAAGAAAGAAGTCAAGAAGCAGATCTCGAAAGAGTTCGCAGTCAGCAAAAGCTTCGTCCACAACCTGTGCAGCCAGAAAGCTCGAGGCAAGGTGGAGCAGTTCGTGAAGACCACCAACCAAGGCGAAGGTGGCCTCAGACCGCCAGGCAGCCACCTAGGCTACTGCATGATGGCCAGCCGCAGCACAGGGAAGAGGCTGCCAGACCCCGGCCAGGCCTTGGGCAGACCAGACCTTCTCAGACCATTTGGGCATCAGGAAGAGAGCAACCTGCACATCCTGACACCTTATGATTTATTCCACCACTTCCTCGACCGCCTAGAAGAAGCCATTGCAGTCAGAGAAGCCGAGAAGCAGGCAGCCGAAGCCGAGAAGCAGGCAGCCAGTCTCAGCGCCAGTGACGTTTTTCAGCCCCCAGGAAAAATAATTAAGTACCTAAATAGTCAGCCCCCTAATGGATTTCCTCAGACCTGTCGTAGCCCTCCAAGGAACAAGAGCCGGCCACCAGCAGACAGACAGACCCAAAAGGGCACTTGTTTTATAGCCAGTCTGGCAGCCAGAGCCCTTTAGTCTGAAGCCCCAAATAGACCCTATTATTCATTACCCTAAACCCTAAACCCTAATTGAACCCTACTAAACCGTAAACCCTAAACTGTAAACCCTAAACTGTGAACCCTAAACCCTAAACCCTAAACCCTAAACCCTAAACCCCAAACCCCTTAGCTGTTCAGACAAGGCTGCCAGTCAGGCCGCCCAGAGCAGGCCTGACTGAAAGCCAGGCAGACAAGCACGGAACAGACAGTCCGGCAAAAACAGTCAGAGCCTTGCAGCCTTGTGAGAGGGGTCAGGGTTAGGGTTTAGTTAGGTTTAGGGTCCAGGGGTTTAGGGCCTCCACCCCCCCTAATCCCCCCCTAACTCTGTAGAGGTTTTAATAGGGACAGACCCGGGATCGGTATTTGGGGCCGAGGGGATTTAGCTCGCGATGAGGAGTGACATGTTGCATGAGAAGTACTGTTCAAGGCCTTTTCTCAAAGGGTCAGCCCAAGCAAAGGTGCCAGGATAAAATTCCCAGGGTGGGCCTGGGAGGGAAGTTTGGACACAGCCTGGAGATTTGATCCTGCTGTGGAAATCCCTGCAGCACTCCAATGCATGCTAACTTGCGTCTGCAATTCTGCAACGCTGCATTAGCTCGCGATGAGGAGTGACATGTTGCATGAGAAGTACTGGACAAGGCCTTTGCGCAAAGGGTCAGCCCAAGCAAAGGTGCCAGGATAAAATTCCCTTGGTACCCTTGGCACCGAGATTGGGTGGTTTGAGTGATTCACGAATCAACGCTCATCGTCGGAGGCCTCCAAAATGTTGAAAGCCATTCCTGCACAAGCCTGCTCGTCTACAGAAGCGTAGTGAGTTGTGCTCGCCTTGGAAGACCACTCGCCCATGCGAAGCATGCCCGGCAAGCCATACATGCCTATCCGTCTCCAGCTATCTCCTGCCAGGAGAGAACATGTAGTGCCTTCTGCTTCCAGGACGTCCACCCCAGCTCCTCTACGAAAGCAATGAGTTGTAAAACGCGCCGCTTCATCTGCCGAAAAGCCACATTCCAGCAACAACGACTGCAAGGTGTTTGAGACACTCTGGGCAGAAAATGAAAACAATAAGTTTCGGGACCCATCCTGTTCGTTCTTTAGCTCCTTTAGCGCAGTAAGCCACAAATGAAAGCAAAGAAGCTCGTCTTTGGAGCACACACAAAACCTTCGAAGAGTTGACAGGCCTGGTTTCCCCTTCCTTAACACATCTTTGTACGTCAAAGAATGCTTGTCAACTACCAAGTTGCACCATCTGCACTGACTCAGGAGCTCGGATGGAACCCTTGCAGCGAAGATGTAAGCGAGATTGCACAAGGTCCCGAAAGCGATGAGATTTTTCTTTGCCGCCAGCTGTAAGACTTTTCGCCAAAGAGGAAAGCGAAGCCGGCCTCTGGGAGCCGGTCTCGGAGCCAGCCGCTCTGTACCTTTCCGAACCCTGCGCAAGAAAGGCTTTTGGTCCCCCGGCCAAAATTCTCGCTCTTGTATGTGCCAGTCTCGCCACGCAGCTAGCCACACTCGCAAAGTATTGGGGTTATTGACCAGACCAGAAACCCTCAGAATCAAATCTAAGGATGCTGGAAGCGGCGTCTCGCCCAAGAGGCTGCAAGCCCAAGAAATCATTCTGACATTCGAAGCGTAAGAAGAGCAGGAAGCCTTAGCCAAAGCTGCCCCTGCTCTGGACAAAGCGATGTCATCCAGGAGCTGGTGGACAGGAGCCCCTGCTTGCAAGAGCTGCGTTAGCAAATTGATTTCCTGCGTGGGCGTAGGCCCTGCAGGGCTACGTCCCGAAGGGACTGGTCTACCTACTGCCGCATGGAGCTCAGTGTAGCCACGTGTCTCATCCAGCTTGCGCCGCTTTGAGGCGGGCCCCAAGGGAGCAGAACTGCCCGACGGGGGCGCCGAGAGTTGAGGAGGGACGCCGCGCGGCTGGTCCCGACCCGGGCGACAATTATGTCTCCATGGAGGGTATCCAGGAGGAGGACGAAACATCCCTGAGCAGAAACTGTTGCCTTCGGCGCAAGCTGTTTGGCATGTGCGCTCAGAGACCGTGAATCATGTGTCGTCAGAGGCAGAGCGCTCCATCAGACATGACGTGACCTTCCTACGGCAATGTTGCGTACATGCTTCTGCGCTGCTTCCCCCTTCACAGAAAAAAAAGGAGAGGAGAGAAAACGGAGAAAGAGAGAAACCCCACCCCCCCCCCACCCAAAAAAAAACACACACACACACACACACACCAAAGACCTCAAGCCAAAAGAAAGAATGGAAGCTCAGTCGTGAAAGCACTTCTTTACAGTCACTCTAAGCTTGGCCTTGGTGCAAGCGTCTACGCTTGTCAGAGCGGTTCAACTTCGGAGCGTCCTCACACAACAAACGCTTGGCCGTGCGCTTGCCCTCCAAAAACTCCAACAGTGTCTCCCAAGCAGAGACATCCGGGAGCAGAGCAGTGAGCTGGTCTGCTTGCAGAGCTCGAGCTATGTCAAAGCAGCCCCTGCTAATAGGGTCAGCCACGTTGAGGCTGCTTGGAACTCTGCCTATCCACACTGACGCCTTTCCTTGGCGCACTGTTTTCCAGAACAAGGAGGCGATCACCGTGAGCTGCGCTGAACGAGAGTACCCTTTGAGCAAGATGCCCTCAGCAGCCTTACTGTCTACGAAAAGGAAAATGTCAAGCCCTTGCAAGGGTGGTCTGTCAAGGTTTGTATCCAAATGAGTGCCGCAAGCGCCTCAGCTTCGTTAATGATGTGGCCTGCCTTCCATGGGATCAAGCGGCAGCTGTGTTTGCCAACCTTCAAGTGAAAGAAGAAGCACCAGCCGGGGCCCCAAGCCATTCCACCAAGCCTGCAGCCATCTGGGCTGAGGGCCGCATCTACGAACAGCAGAGCCGCTCTGCGAGCAACAGTCTGGCTTGCTCTCACTTCCATGGGACCTCGGCCTTGCAGGGAAACCAAGAAGCCCAGTCGAGCAGCTTTGAGGACAGGCCACGGCGGAGGCTGGCGTCCTTGCGAGTCTGCAGCTATGAGTTCACGTAGCGGCCAAGCAAAGGCACGGCCAGATCGGCCCAAGCACACCGCTGACGCGTGGTCCCACTGGCCCACCATTTTGCCAGCCAGCGTTGAAGATAATTTGCCTTGCTCCAACACCTGCACAATGAGGTTCGCGTACTTGGATGCTTTGGCGTCTGGCAGGTCAATTCTGCAGACAAGTCCTGCTGCACGCTCCTCAGCCGGAATGTCGAAGTCCAGTAGCCCACCTAAGGCTACTAGCTGCTTGGCCCCACCTGGAGAAGTTCTCTCTGGTCTTGCCTTGGAAGGCTTGAGTAAAAGATTTAGTGCTACGTGCAGTTCCAGGCAGGACGCCCTAGCCGAGTCCACTGCCTCCATTTCTTCCACACCAACCATGTCATCTACGTGAGGGATGTTTGGTATCAACAGAAGCACCGAAGCCACTGCCGAAACCATGTCTGTGACCCTACAGAACACATGCGGAGCTCCCCGTGGTCCGAAAAGTAGCTTCTGTGGCACGAAGATCCTGACGCTGGAGTCAGGAGCTCTGGCTGCTGCACAAAGAAAGCGCCTATCTGTGGACGACAAAGAGAACTGTCGAAACCCGTGAGCGTAGTCTTCTGCAAAACCTCTCAAAGGAGGGAAGCGGCCTGCTTTGGAGAAACACTCAGCCACAAACTTCACGAGTGTGACATAGCCGTCCAAGCCTGCCATGAAGACTGTGTTGGGGAGGTGTACGACGTGTAGCCCGTTTGCCCCCTGTGGGGCCAGGCAACCTCGCACTTTGTCCGGCTCCTCGACCCCAAAGAATAGCCAAGAAAGGAAGTCGCCCAGCTGTTCCTCGGCCTGCGCGACGGATAGCTCCACCCAGAAGCCCTTCTTTGCCTCGCCCTGCAACAGCTGGAAGAGCTCTGACGACTTGTGGTTTGGCAAGCGAAAAATTCCAGCGGCTCTCTCCGACGCATGCTCCTGTAGCAGGCGGCGGAGCTCTGTCTGGTGCTCCGCTTCTGTTGGGGGTACAGGGGACCGCTTGGGAGGCTCCCACCCTGGTCTTGCTGGCAAGCACCCCAGAAGGCGGAACCCGTCTGGCTTCATGGCGTCAGCGGCGAGGTTTTCGTCCGGGTGCCCAATGAGATTGCCAAGCTTCTGCAGTAGTGTCCAGCGTGGCTCCTGTGAATGACCTTCCTGCGCGGCCAACTTGCGGATTAGCATCAACTGCTGAGTCCGGTACTTGATGGCCTGCTCAGCGGACAGGACTGCCCTACGCTCCACTCCTCGTCGCACCAGTTCCGGCAACCGGAAGCTCGACTGTCTAAGCGGAGAACTGTGGGGAACCACGGCGCCCACAAAGTCCTCCCAAGAAGAGCAAGCCTCGAGAGATTTTTCCTGCAGCACAGGACCTTGCAGGAACCCATTTGTGGAAACCAGCTGTCTCAACGACTCAGGCAAACTGTGCAAAGGAGGGGAGGAGCCTCAATCGAAGTTTCAAGGCGGCGTCGTCGCCCTGGTGCAGCATCGCCAAGGCGACCGCCCTCACCAGTCTTCCTCCCCCCCATCTCCTTTCGCGCCGGAGACTTTCGAGGCCCAGGAGACCTAGTAGTAGGAGACAAACCTCTTGGAGGAGACCGTCTAGATTCACGAAAACGGCGACCTCTGCGGGAGCGGCTCCTGGAACGCGAAGTCGCTTGCGCTCTGTAACTTGCTCCAGTGCTGGACTTTGGCACCACCACCATGGGTGTCCACAGGGCGGCCAAATGTCGGTGCAAGTAACCAGAGGCGTTGCCACATTGCTTGCCCCCACAAAATGGACAGCTGTGCAAGTAAGCGCAAGCTTTCTTGTCCTGGTTTGGGCACAGATTTGCACCCATTCCGTACCGCAAGCAGAAGAAAGCCTTGTCAGGACGCTTCTCCTTGTCGTTCTCCCTGTCTGCGAAAAAGCCTGACGAGCCTCTCTCAGCGACTGCAGTTGCATGGCTAACGCCCAGAATCTCCCTTGTCTCACTGTACAACGCAGGGTCCCGTCGGAGAAAAACTGCCATGTTTTCGTCAAATGCTTTCGGGTCGCTTTCAGGCTTGAGTGGCTTGTTCAAGGAAGCTTCATACAGAAGCTTGCGGCACTTGTGGGTGTACGCTAGTGCGACCTTCTCGGCGTCTGTAGTTGCCAGAGGTGAATCAATGGCCAAGTCCAAAGCAATGGCCAGCTCAGAAAACAATGCTGCCGGAGACATCCGGTGTTGCAACAAAGCAGCCACCCCTGACTTGAGAATCGCCAGTAGGCCTCTTGCAAAACTCCTGTCTCCCTCCAGTTTGCTGTCTTCTGTCGGTGGCAGGAAGTGACCAAGCTGTGCAGCTGTTGTGGCCTTCGCCAAGAGCTCTTGGGAAGGTAAAACCAAAGCCGCAAAGGTCCCTATGTCCAGCTTTTCTGCCAACTCACCAACTGTTGCCTTGTGGCGCAGCCTGCGTTGTTCTTCGAGCCATGGCTCTTCTAGCCCAGGCACTTTCAACTGAACTCCCTGTCGCTCATTGCCAGGGAGTTGGGAAGAGTCGCCAGCCAAGGACTTCAAGAAACGACTGAAAGCCGCTTTCTTACGGATATTGGTTCGCTCTGGCAAACTCTCTTTGAAACCGTCGACGCCGATTTCCTGCAAGTCCTTGGCCACTGCTTCCAGAGACCCTTCAGGCAAATCGTAGCCTATCTCAGTCAGCAGCTCAGTAACCAGGACCTGATCTTCGCACGAGTGAGGAAACAGATCGCTGATCTTGTTAGCAGTTCCTGCGCAGATCTCTTCGAGAGGCCGCGTAATGGCTGCTAGATCTCTGAGTCGCGCAGCTGCAGAGAATGCCATGGCCAGGCACAGCCTGGAGAAGTGGACACAGCCTGGAGATTTGATCCTGCTGTGGAAATCCCTGCAGCACTCCAATGCATGCTAACTTGCGTCTGCAATTCTGCAACGCTGCATTTTATATTAGGGGGGTATTAATATTAGGGGGAATGGATTATATACATGGCCCAGGAATGGCCCCTGTGAACCCCATCTTGCAACCAGCACAATGCTCTAGCCCTAGCCCGAAAAGAAAAACGTTAAGGCAAATTCCGGTAGAGTTGTGGTTTCGCCCGGAGGCTGAGGTTCCTTATATAGGGACCCTTAGATTCCCAAGAGACCCTATGGATGATCCCAGACCACAGCTGTGGCCCCTCTGACAAAATCTTTGGAATCTCTGCATGCCTGTATGGACCCGGCAACCTGAGGCTTCAGGCACGCTGTGAGCCTCAGCGATAACCAGGCCAACATGCTCCACAACAATCATGCAGAATGCAAAGTAAAATCTACACCCCTGGGGTGGACAGAGATTTCAGCAAATTGCGAGCGGCTGATGTTGTCCCAAACGCTTGCATCTTCCAAATCTTCAAGCTGCTCTGCTGAGGGAAATCTGCAACAATTCTGCATGCCACCCTGGCAATTTGAATTCTGGCAATCTCCCAAAATTTCTTCTTCAACTCAGCACCTGGATGCCCCTCGGCCTCGCCAACACGACCATTCCAACTCAGGAGCCTATAACTCCACGTCGACAACTTACATAAAGGGCAATGGTCGAATAAGACACGCTCAGGGCAAGCAAGGTGCAGCTGATGAGGCCTGCGACGCCTGCCTGGGATACTGAAGACGTAATTTCAAAAGGAGAGAGAGAATGTCACTCTGTGGAGGTTTTGACTGCCTAGAGCTTGGCAGGGGTTGCAATGGGCAACGGCCTGGGCAACAACTACGACTGGAAACGCGCCTGTTATAAACTGAGCACACAGCACGAACATAGTGGATGACCGTTTGACTGTCCAGAACATAACGTGCCGGATGTTAGTGCCAGGCTGGCATTTGAGTTTTGGGAGCCAATCACAACAAAGAAGCCATGCAAGACCAGCCCAGTTGCCCCAAGCACCACCAGGTCGTAGCCTGGTCTGCGGGCAGCGGTAGCAAAGGGCGTCTTTTTCATCAAAGGGTTTCGACTTTCGACTCTCGCACTCGAAGCAGGCAAGGATTCAGGCGGTCTTCTCTGTTTCACTGTTTCCTTCACGACTGATCAAACGCTCTAGGGAGTGTAGGGTATAGGGCTTCAGGAAGGTGAGACGAGGGTCACCGAGCCGGCTGCTTGGCCTGATGCAGAAAGCAACTTCGAAACAGAAAGCAGCTTTACGACTGGAGAAACAGGCTTGCAAAAATAGTATCAATCATACGAAGCTTACAGATTGCGTACGTATCCAACGCCTCCCAACAAAAACTTTTCCGACTAAGCCTACTGTGCTTTCTGTGAAGTTTCTGGGTCACTTTGTCTAGAGATTCACTTGCTACTTGTTCTATTACAGAAGAAGACACTGTGAAAATTAATCCTCGTCAGCCTCCTCATCCCCAGAGCCCCCCCACCCACCCCACCCTAAATAAAAACCAAATTTAAACCATGAACTCGCCCCCGAGGCCACTCCCAACCCAACGATTCCAAAAAAACGACTTAAAGTCGCACAAACTAAAACACACAGAGAAAGAAAAACGCCTCGAAACGTTGAAAACCCGAGGAGCTGGACACCGGCTGAGGGTTCGCCCGGGCGAAGGGATCCTCAGAGCGCCAGACCGCAGGATTACACAGGCACAGGCGCTGCGACAAATCGATGTTACCTCGGTGCCTTCTTCGTGAAAGCAGGAATCTAAAGAGGCCTCATCTTTTGGCGTTGCCGTTGCTTTCAGCTATCATGAAAGCCTCACGCTAGTCCTTGATAAGGGGAGGCATGGAGAGTGCGTTCCATCGCCGCAAGTCCCAAGTCTTCTCAAGTCTTCTGTCTAATCGGCACTGTGGCTCAGTGTGAAACCGCTACCACTCCATTGCAGTCCGAGGCATTGGACACTTCTGCTGAAAATTTGGGGTTTCGAGGTGGCATGTGGGCGGCAAAATTGACTGGACTCATTCTTTCTCCCTGATCCCTTCCCCCTGATGTAAACAAGCAACCCCCCAATCCCCCCACCCCCCGCCCCTCCCCTCTCCCGGCAAAACCAGCTCAACACGAAATCTGTCCTCCCGTAATGTTAGACGTTTTTCTGCAAATCAGATTGTTCGATTTTTTTTGAAGGGGCGAGCGGAAAGGGTTCCATAACCTCGGGGCGAAGCGGTGAGTCCGACAAAACAGACTCACCATTCTTAACCTTGGAATTCCGAGATGCATGAATCCCAAGCGCCTAAACTTTAGCCTAAACTCTATGGCTCTCAAAACCCAAAGCCAAAACCCGTTCAGTTGGGGATCCACGTTCGCCACCAGGCGCTGCACGCTGGGGTCGTCCCGTGGTTCCGCACCGTACCTGAGCGGTCTGTCCAGAATTTAGCAAATTCAATTTAGTTTTAAGTCCTTATACAGATAACAAATGATGCCCATTAGACCGCCCATGGCCCACTCATGGTGCGGGTCTGGCGGTCACGACAGTGCAGGTGTGGACTCAACCGTGCTCAACCGTGCTCAACCGATGCTCAACCGAAACCGCGAAGCCCAAAGATGCCCCAAGCACCTTGATATCCTGTAAAGATCAGTTGTGTGCGGACTTCTAGAGGGGTTCACTGATGGTAAACATCCCGAAACCCTTCTCCGGATGAACGCAACCGGGGATGCTCCTTCTCCAGCCTGCCGCCTTTCGCCGCACCCGGTGGAGGTAAATCTCCAAAGTGGTGAGGACCCACCTGCGAGGGCTTCAAGTGTCTCTCGGTCCATCTCTGTCCGTCTCTCGCTCTTCTTCTTCTTCTTCTTCTTCTTCTTCTTCTTCTTCTTCTTCTTCTTCTTCTTCTTCTTCTTCTTCTTCTTCTTCTTCTTGTTATTCTTCTTCTTCTTCGGGGCTTGAGGGGCAAGTGCCCCCCGCGCACTGGGCACACTGTGTGGGACAACTGAAAGCTGTGCACCCGGAGTGGTTCGACATTTCACCGAAAAAACGCTGCAACACCAACATTCTCCCTTTCTCCCTCTTCTTCTTCTTCTTTTCTACCGGGCATGGAGGACAGGGCAGAAGTCCCTGAACCTCCGCGCGCTGGGCGTGCCCTTGATGTCACAGCTCGAGTCGGCGTGAGACGACAAGAAGTAGGATTGTGCACGTGTCCACATCCACGGGTTGTATGTTTTGTGTATGGAGGGTCTTCCCCCCAAATAACAAGACGGCCAACTCTCTCTCTCTCTCTCCCTCCCTCCCTCGCTCCCTCGCTCTCTCTCTCTCTCTCTCTGCACACTTGGCCCCCTCCCGAAGGAGGAAGCCGGCCCCAGGGGCACGCAATGTCCACGGTCAGTTCTCTCTTCTTCTTCTTCTTCTTCTTCTTCTTCTTCTTCTTCTTCTTCTTCTTCTTCTTCTTCTTCTTCTACGGGGCTTGAGGAACCCCAAAGGGCCCCCCGCGTGCTGGGCGCGCCCAGTTCCGCTCTCTCTCTCTCCCTCTCTCTCTCTCTCTCTCGCTCTTCCTTCTTCTGCTGGTTATGAAGGAGCCCCGGCGGACTCCCCGGCGCGCAAGTCCCTATGAGATGGACTCTTTGGTCAAAAGCAAGGGACTTCCCATCATCACATGCCAAGGCTTACGTGGGTGTTCCCCCCAGTGTGTTGCTGCAAAGGACACGAACACACCCACACTCGAGGACGTCCGGCAAAAACGTGCACTGCTATCTCAGGTGGTTCACCAAACTCCCGCCCTTAATTTGGACTTTCCCCCTTCTCTGTAAATGTAGCTCTTCCCCAGGTTTTAGTGAGGGCAAGCATTCACGGATTGTACACAGAGTGACATGTCTTACGAGTACCCTCTCTCTTTCTCTCTCTCTCTCTCTCTCTCTCTCCTCTCCCGATGCATCCCTGAGACCCCACCAAATTTCAGAGGTTGCAGTGTCAAGATTTCTTCATTCCAGACAGATTGTGCTGTTCTGTGCCGCCACTCGGGTCCCGAGATTCCCCTCATTTAAAATAGCCCTAGGTGGCCAAAGCTTTGGTCGGCTGCGGACCATGGAATGCCAAGTCACTAATGGGCCAAGGATATCTGAGTACATTGTTGATGCCAGCGGGGCAGCCCCTGAAGCGTAGCTGCAAAGTCAAGAAACTCAAAGGAACCTAGATCTGGGCAGAACAATTCAGAAATTCAGAACCAGAGAAGTGCCACTTGATTAATTTTGATTAGGGTTAACGGTTAACGGTGCTGCACCGCACGCCTTAGGCTGAGCAATCGCCCAAAGCTTAGAAGCCCAATGCCCAAGACCCTCCACTGGCAAACGGGGATCGTCGAGCCCCAAATGCCGCCAGGCAGAATCCACCCAAAGCACCGTGAAAGCTGCGCCACGCATGGGGGCGCAACTTGGCACGGAACACCATGCTGCAAGAAAAACACGTCCTTAAGTGATTGGCTACTCAGACTCGGTGCCATACTACTGCTCATGCTGCTGCTGTTGCTGCTGCGGCTGCTGCTGCTTCTGTACACGCGATGCAAACGCCGGCTACTCCATCAACAGAAGGACTGGCCATACTCACGCATGCGACTGCAAGGGATGAGCCAGGTGCTCTGCGATGCAGACAGAAGAAACTCTACAGTAAGAGTGCAAGTCGAAACTGCGATGTGCGACGGCCAGCCCAAGAGAGAGAATCTCAGGATCTTATTTCCCATTTCAGCAGACTCAGACACGGCGTCAAGCTTTGCTATCATCCGTGGTGTAGTCCGTACTGCTGTCAGGCTCAGACTCCGTCCAAGTCGTTCTCCTCTGCTCGACGGCCTGAAGGGACTGCACAAACAACCCTAGAAACGGAGATGACGTGAGATAAAGGGAGTCGCAGAATGCACGAGTGTCAAATATCAACAACGCGGTTCATGGAAACAACCTTCACAACACTCCATCGCCAGCTGGCCCAATAGATGACTAGAGAATGATGCTGCTCCTTGTACTGCTCGTAGCTGCTAGCCAGCATCACGAACGCGGTGGTCAACAAGGCTGCTACAACGTAGTTGAACTGCTCCTCTCCCGGGTACATCAGCCTCGCGACAATGCGATTGGTTTGCACTGAGATGCGGCTTGGCAAACAAACACGTGCCCAAGTCTGCAAGCTGCCCAGATGCTCGCCAGTGATCCAAATGCCATTAGCAATCGCCCAGACGGCCCAGGACCAGCTGGTACGACGTATACTGCGCCAGCCATCGCTTTCGAGCCGTGCGTTCGCAAGTATCATTGGCACCTGCGAACGTAATACTGGTGATGCAAGACATGAACACAGTGAGAGAGCTGCACACAGAAAGGCTTCAGACCGCAGTTCCTGGACTCCAAGCGCACGCAAGATAAGTGAGGTAATGTGAGGTACATTGGACCCTGGCAGTTAAAACTTGAACTGCAAGTCGCTGTGATGAGATCCGTTGATATAGCTGGCCAAAACTCCTCTCTTGCCCAGAAGAAGTCCTGCATGCTTGAGCAACGTCTGGGTACTTTGTGCTTACACGCTACGTCCGAATACCGTCACAACAGCCTTCAGGCACCAGCTGCAGAGGTAGCCTTACGGACAGTTCAGGTCGATTTCGGGCTGAGCCCCACGAAACCACTGGAAGATGCGGGCTTAATTAGGCTCCCGTTGGTGTTTGGTGGCGGGCATTCGATGGTACATGATGGTACCGTAGTGGGCTTCTTGTGGGGCTGGGGGCTGGAGGCCGATTCGTAACGCTTCTGAGGCAAGATTTTCGAGCTTCGGATTCGTCTGGGGCTGCAGGTCGGACTGTGTAGAGACATGAAGTCGAAAGTACAGCTGCCAATTCCTGGCCACCTTGATCCCTCACCCTACTAAAGTCAAGCTCTGAACGATCCCCTGAATTCTGCCCAGTGGCTTTGCAGCAGAAAACTTGCCAATGCACGCGGTGGAAAATTGTACTTTGGATGCAAGTACCTTTTGGAGGCTTCAGCAGTTCCCTTTTGCTTCACAAATTGGTTCCTAACTGCTAGCCCCCTTCAGTCCAGAACACCCTCCCAACGCCAACTCTGGACCCGGATCTTCTTTTCAAGTAAATGTAGCACCGGCAAACACAACCACTTGCGGTCGAAACAACGAGACCTTGGTGGAGAACCTTGCCGGTTCGGAATTGTTGGGTGCGGGTTGTGGCTTCGAGTTCGGGTTGCTGCCATCTCTAGACGCAGTCAGGCCCTGGAGTATGCCCAGATCCTTGCTTCAAACTTCCAACTGATTCAACTCTGTGCTAACCATTTCCAACCTCACTACCAATGGCATTCAACCCCTGCGACCTTTCTTTGGCCATTTCCCTACTCAGTTGAGACGCCAATAGGTTACAACAGCGAGCCCGAGCAAATAGGTGGCCACAGCGACGAAAAAGCCGGTGGATGCCATCTTTTCCATTACGCTGTAGACGGGCCTGAGTCGCGAGGCCACAGAAACGAGTCAAAGACCCTCAAAACCAAAGCAGGGCCGCTTGTCTAGTTGACAATTGGGTAGAGGAGGGTTTATCCTGAAATGCCTAGGGCGCAACGGTCACAGAAGCTTTCGGGCTGCTTCGGGCATAGCTGTAGTTTGAACACGAGAAATGATTCGTTGCTGAGCTGAACGCCGTGTGCACTTTCCCTTGCTGGCATTGGCCTTCCCTGGCCCACCTTTCTTATGTGGTACAGCCCCAAGACCCTTGTGGTCCGGGAGCCGAGAAATTAGGCGGCCAGGCTAGTGGCATTGCGGATGGCACGGTCCCTTGCCCGCTTCCTTGTGTGTACCGTGGAGCCTCCCCAACGCACTGGAAAGCGGGGCTGACCCGCCCCTTTTCGCGGAACGGGGCTGACCCGTTTCCCCGGGGCGGTCCGCTTTGGATAACCCCGGGCCCTTTCCTCGAGAACCCGGATTCGTTACCATGCAAGGGCTTGTACTCTTTTCTACAGAAGGGACTGCTAACCTGCAGCTCATACTCTAGGGAATGCTTAGAATAGAGACCGGGCATCCTGACAGCGGTGAAAGTCTCACGGTGTCTCACGTCTCTAATTCAAAGGCCGCACACATCAAGCATCAGGGTATTGACTCATGACGCCTAAGGCTGTCTGAAGGATGCGGCCCTTCAAAAGAACCGAGGCACTCGTCTTCTGGAAGAAGAGGCGACAAGCTCCAGGGAAACTCGACATCTGGCTTGTCGTACAAGACTTCACCTTGCTCTGGAGTCAATCGTCCAGCTTCCAACCCTACACAGGCTGCAACGCGAAGTGTTACACCATTTCAGCCGTCAGACACGTACAATGTCACAACTACAACAACTGACTTTCTTTTCGGTGCAGGAGTGTCACCACTGGCGTGAGCGTGTCAGTCGCTCGCTGGCTACGGCGCCTGTTGTGGGACTCTGCCTTTGATGACAGTCTTTGCTGTCAGCCAAGCCGCTCGTCATCCAGAACACATTGGTGGACAGCCAGATTGTCATGACAAGTTCAATGACCAAATCAGCCTTCAATATGCAGCAAGTAAGAACAGCTGAAGGCAGCAGAAGCTTGGCTGAAGACCAACAACCTCTTTTCTGCTGAGATTCAAAGCTCCTGCGGCCGCAGTGCAGCCCGACACCGGCAAACGTCAGTGCAGCCGCGACAGCTCCCATTGGCAAGGAAAGCTCTGGGATGAGCAACACCCACCCAACTTCCTGTCCGAGGGCTGAAAAAAACAACAACAAGCATGAGCACAAGGTCATCAAAGGTCATGAAGCTCACGTAATCTATGTATGCATCACTCGACTCCGAATGCCTTGAGCATCCAGCAAACATGGGCTGCGTACCTCAGCCACAGCTTGCCGTATGCACTTTGCTTGCACATCTTCGCTTCACAAACATGCGAACCCAGCTGCACAGCTCGGTCTCCCCAATCCCATTCTGGCTCCGAGGTCTGGGATTCTGCCTCCCAAGTGTCAGCTTCCTCGTCGCTTGGCGCCATCTTGGACATCCTACCGTGCTGTGTTTCGATGTCCCTGCGTGAGAGCTGTCGATGCAGATGCTTCGGAGAAGCAGTTAGTGATACCGTGATACCTGTTCCTTCCATTTCTGATGTGCGGGCATTCTGTTACGTGGCTCAGGCTGAAACAGCCACACGCCATGGGGCTCAGAACCAGCAGAACATCGGCCGAGCACGTTCTGGAAATCGACCGTGGAATACAAAAGATCAGTTTTGGACTTGTTTTCAGCATTGTCTCCCCCCTCCCCGCCCACCAACTGTCATCCCACCTCCGCCCCCAAAAAACAAACTTCCTAATGGCCTTCTCGGGGGTTATACCAGCACTCTCATGAATTTTGATCTCAACGTGAGCTCATCCGAAGCTATCGCCACTGTCTGCGAGGCCTCCCAAAAGCAGAGGCCGAATGATACGCTCTGTCTGCTACAGCTTGGCGGTGCTACGCCATTCCTGGTTCGCTATGTGCACGGGCTGTGCCTGTATCAAAATTTTGGACAGCAGAATGCACATAGAAACTGCGGCAGGAGCTCGGTTTCGCACATGTCGTGACGATTCAAGATTGGCTTTTCCGATGAGAGCTATGAGACATGGAAACAAAGTCAAGCAGATGATCAGATGTGCAAGCGGCAAGATGAAAGCCTTGTTCTGTTCTACAAGTCCGGCAGCCAAATCATGCCAAATCATGCGCCTTAATGGCCAATATGGCCGAGATAGGGCTCAGAGCGGACTGCAAAAGACGCTTTGTTCCTGGCACCAATCTGTTGCTGCAGCCACTCCTGAATTCGCGTGCACGCTTGCAACTTGGGACTTTGGGGTTTGATCTTCTTTTCCAGGTTTAGGGTCGCATGGACTGCAATAAATTGCAGGGAAAAACCTCGGCACATGGATCCTGGTACTGAGGACCGTGGAAAAGCCGAGTGAAGTGCTGAGAACTTCCCTCGAACAAAAACGTAGGAGCTGTACATTCTCGGCAAAGGCAAAGACGACTGCCATTGGCAGGTCCTGTGCAGGCAACTGTACGCTGGATGTCGGTTGTTGGCTAAGGATCCGGCGAGTGACTTCGCAGATTTTTGCAGATAGTCTCATGGAGGTGATGCGAGTTGATACGGGGCACAGCTGCATCCTTCGATTCTGCCACGCTCCCCGCGCCCGAGTCGCTTGACCGGGGGGAGCTCCAACACTTCACTCGTGCGCCACATGCGCCAAGGAATCAAAAACTTCAAAAATCTTGGACTTGCCTCATACTGGTGCATCTGGTGGTCCTGCTCCGGCTCGGCTTGCTGCTGCTCTGCAAGTAACTGCAAGCAATGCCATCTACGACTGTATCCTCAAGTCACACGCGTGAGCATCCAGCGACACTGTTTCTTTCTCCGCTTGCTTCACCATACGAGGTACTGTGCCACTCGGAGCCTTGTCGTCTGTATCACGTACCGAGGCTCATGCTTCTCTGTCACATCCCCAGTCCACTGCGGTTGTCACTGGAGCAGCGCTGTCCCAAGACCTTGAGATCTGTGTGGCTTGTGTGCTAGCAGGCTGGAACGAGGGCACGGCTACAACAATGAAGTGATGGCTGCCCACAACCTTCCCCCCCATCATTATCATCATTGTTGCATAACACCTCCCGCAAAAAAGTCACAGCTACAGTACATCCTGTTGAACAAAAAAAGTTTTCATTGTGAGCAGCATGTGAATGCGTCAACATGCCCGCACCGACAGAAACTTTTGGGAGCCAAGCGGATCTGACGCCGAGCCCTTCCCGATCGAGACCTGCAGGGAACAAAACAAAGCAAGAACAAGACTGTTTCAAAGATCGTCGGTCGGCATGGAACTTTGCCCATGACTGGGCAGCCCCAAGGAGCACGAGGGGATCCCTCGAAATGAGATCTTGGGAAGCCAAGTTCAAGGCCTGTGCAAGGCGAAATCGCTGCAGCCTTTGGCCGTGGAAGGCGTAGAGCTGCCCGCGGCGCACACCTGATTTGAACACCTCCGTCTAGAGGCCCGGGTTTGCTCTACGCAACCACTTCTCAAGTTGCTAGGGTTTGCTCTTGGCATGGGTACACGAAGCAGCAGGTTTGATGATCATGGCTGTGTGTATTCGCGCTGCAGATACAAGCGCCGGCGATTTCATTTGTGGCTGAGGAGCAGAGGCCGCAAAGAGGCGCCGGAAGCACAAGGCCTGGAAAGCTGGTAAGTTTTCTTCGGGCTGAGCCGCTACACTTGCAAAAGCCCCAGCAAGTGCTGGCACGCTGACGCTTGCTATCAGCTATCAGTATCTTCGACATTGTCAAGATGTCTCACATTGTCGAAGGTCCTCTTGACGACAAAAGTATTTTCAGGAGAAAAGAATCAGCAGCCATTATCATCAGGCGAATGCAGAAAACCCTTAGTGTCCTATTCCCTTTTCTTGCTCGCTGACGACTCCCTACGGAGGGCATTTTTTTGTTGCCAAGTATCTCTACTCGAGCGGGCAAAAAGATCGCGGCTCAGTTGCTTCCCCCCCCAACCTGTAGGTATGAGATGACAGATGCCAAGATTAAAGTTTAAGGTTTCCGTGCCGCTAGGACAATTGAGCAAATCGTGACCTGTCTGTTTGGCCTCCTGTAGCCGTATTATTGGTTTCTGCAGTTTCATTCAAGGCGTTGCTTGATGCCCAACAAGAATGAGGCGGGTGGACAAAATGTTAGGCCACGTTATAGGTTGCCCAACATGCCAAACAAAAAAAGTTACATTAGCTCCAGATGGCCTGCTTTGCCTACAACGAGGAGTAATTAACGGGGGGATGCTTTAATTGTCAGTTCGCCTGGTTTCTCTTCGAGCAAGGCCGCCAGCAACCACGATGTTTATATCTTAATGGTTCAGGCAGGTGGCAGGGTCAATCAATCAGATCTGATGGAGTATGGCGACTAGTATCTCCGCCTGTCACGCGGAAGACCCGGCTCAATTCGGCAGAGTGTATCGCAGCTTGCTCTTGCGCAGGTGCCAGGGGTAACAAGTTAAAAACCTTCTCTTACAACACGAATGCCCAAGAGAAGAGAATGTCCTACAGCAATTTGTGCTCTGTCCATGAGAAACAACAGGAATCCCTGTCAGACTCCACTGAAAAGAAGTTGCTGTACTTGCTTCACCTCAACCAGACTGAGGACGCCCTACAAGCAGCAGTTGTTCTTGCCAAGCTCCGAGGTGCTTGCAAGTTGGCAACGTCCGCTCACCCACACCCACTGACGTTAATGTTATACAACTGTGACGGCAACAAACCAAAGGGATCTTGTGACAATTGAACAGACAAGGGCTTTCGAGCACAGATACATGCTTGTAGACGAGTTGCAAAGTGAGACGCAAAGCGCGATGTAGCAAAAGTGGATTGTGCTAGGCGAGAACATTGCGGCCGAAACGGGTCACGCGCGGGAAGAGTTTAAATTATTGATACGCTGGAAATGGACAACTCATCATCAAAATAGGCAGCAGCCATACACCAACGGAGACCATGCCGAAAACTGCGACAAACATGGCCACAATGGAGACGTAGATGCTCATCGCGCACAGCCCGTTTTGAAGTGCACTGCTGCTGAGCAGCTGCATGCTGTTCAAGTTTCTCTTGTGGACGACACAAGACACCACCAGGCCAACCAGTCACACCAAGTTACAGCAAGAAATCGGCTTGGAGTCCTTGTGTGGCACTCTTTCTTGCGCCGCGCGGGTGTTGGAAGATCTCCACCTCGGCGGACGAACGCAGTCAGGCTTCAGAGATTTGAGGGTGTGGGCATCAAGCTGCCAACTGTACCTTCACTTACTGAAGCCTATCATGTGACTTCTCTGTCAGTCTTCTGCCTGATGGCCCGAACGTGAACCAAAATCCTGGTTGTTTGATATCATGAAGAAGCTCTCAAGTACCCAGCAGCTGGTTCCCAAAACGATTTTTCCCCTTTCTCTGGCCCACCTGCGCCCCGCAATCAAGGACCCTCGTAGGGACGCGCCAGGAACCGACGACCCCTCAAAGCCCTCCAAGACAATCTAAACTGAAAAACAACCCTTCTTCTGCGCGTAGACTCCTAAGAAGGTCGGTCCCGATCGTAGCAAGGACCACAGCTACCGCAGGCGTTCGCATTCATCCCTATCAGCTGAGCTTACTGCCGCCTCGCCCTGCCAGCGGCCCACTGCCGCCCAAGCATAGTCCTCACCCACAAGCCAGGGATCGAAATGCATGGACTTCGTGCTTGGTTTGAATAATCAGAAGGGCTACTTCCTGGAGAGTTTGAAGGCTTCAGAGGTGCTTAGCTGCTAGGCCCGGGTCCTCAGCCATGGCCAAGTAGGCGAAGCCCGGTACCCGGCCTGTGCTCCCCAGGACCCCATTCGCTAAGACACTCAAATGTCACGTCCAAAGCTCCAGGACACGATGTAATGTACAGAACCAGGAAGAGGCAGGAAGAGGCAGGTGTGGAAGCCCAGGCTTTTGCAGGCCATACTGTGGAGCTTCAAGATATTCTCACACGTGATTGTCTTTGCAAGCCAGCTGCAAAACAGGGCCAGGCCGGGAAAGGTGTCCACATGTGTCACCTTTGGGCTCAGCACAGAGAGAGCGAGGGAGAGAGACAGAGACGGAGACAGAGACAGAGAAGGAGAAAAGAGAAAGAGAAAGAGAAAGAGAAAGAGAAAGAGAAAGAGAAAGAGAAAGAGAGAGAGAGAGAGAGAGAACACTTGCAAATTGCAGCTGGGCAGGCCTCCTTGTGTGTGGGGGGGGGGGGGGGGGGTGGGGAGGGGGGTTGGGTAGGGTGTGGTAGGGGGGGGCAAAGAAAAGCACTGGAAACTGTTGGGGGGGGGGGGGGCCCGGGGGTTGGGTGGGGGGTGGGGGACTCTGGGGCTCGGGTTCTTTACCTTTATAACCGGAAAGCACACAACCAAACCTGATCTGGCAACCATGCCTAGAACACTGGCATTTGCAGTGTCTTAGTCTTAGCATTTTTGTACACGATGTGCCTCTTGGTACGTACAACATACGGCACAAGGACGATTTACGTTTCTGGAACAAAACGCTGTCACAAGCACTTATGCGTTTTGAACATGCCAAAAACCCAGGCATGTACAGCGTTTTAGCCTCTTTGTACACCGTATTGCACAAGGATGTTTGATGCTTCTGAAACACGACGCGCTCTCACAAGTGTTCATGCCTTGTGTGCAAGCATCTCGACGACGATCAAACTAGGCATGCCAGCGCGAATCGAGTGCTGATCGCACCTGGGCGGATGTGCGACAGTTTCAGCTTCGACGCATGCAGACGAATACGTACGGAACTTGTGCGAAGCTTTGCAAGGCAGCCAGCAAGTGCAGCTGACGACACGTTTCTGAGATGCAGTCCTGGAAAAGGTGGTTTTTGCTGTGGCGGGAGCATCATTTTCCCTTATGCGCACACTGAATCACTTTCGGCCCCTACGATACAATGTTGTTGGATCATGAATGTCGTGTTCCCTAGGCCCTAGGTTTTGGCATGCCACCAAGCGCAGCACGCACACCAGGAGTTCCTACCCAGTTTTTACCCCATCGAACCTGACGAAAAGAGAAAACTCCTTGCAGGGGGCCTGGATGGACTTAGCTCCGCCTCCGCCTCCTGGGACTGCGGCGCAGTGGCAGACTGCACCGTGACCACTGGGAGTGCACAGCACCACCCCCAATGATAGATCTCCAATGCTGGCTCCTTCTAGGTCAAATCCGGCTGCAGCCGCCAAACCCAGGTTCCGGTGAGTCTGTCTGACCCCCTTCGTGGGAATCAGATCCAACTGCGTGAGGTAAGCCGCCACAGAGTCTGCGCCTGACAAGATGTAGCCATCACATTTTGACCGGTGTGTGTGTGGCTGAACCAAGTTATGGAGGAAGCCTTGGCGCATGCATGCGCATTGCCGGCTCTACAACAAGGATTTTCAGACAGCCGCCTGACGCCAGACGTGGCAGCGCCACCCCGCGGGCCTCCATGAAGCTTCGCAACTCCTCATGCAATCGGCTATGTGAGGAACCGGAGATCCTCATTTTGAAAGACAAGCTTAAGGACCCACACTCCATCTGGCCAGAGCTTGTACTTGTTAATACGTTTTGGAACTCCTTGTTTGGAGTGTAAAACCATAAAAACCATGAACCCATCCTCGCTTTTCAGGAGAGCTTCAGCTCCTCGTCTGCATCCTCGCCTTCATCGCGTGAGTCTCCCAAGGTGTGCATGCTGTCGGCTGAAGGGAGACCTGATTAAGTAGCCACGATGCATCAAGATGCCAACAATAACAAACTGGAACAAGTCAGACCTGACCGAGCTGGACATGGGGAAGGTCCACTCCTAGTAAGACTACGGTAAGACTGACTTCCAGCACATCTTAGCACGCTCATTCCGTGGCAGATCATTCGCATGGATTTCTCTCACGGAAGCTGAGGCTCCCGTTGCTCCCGTTGCTCCCGTTGCGGCTTTGTAGTAGATGCCATTGGCCAGGATCATGCAGCAGCCGGCGGAAATAACAGCAGCCAACGGAGGGGCAAATCCCGACAATTCAAACCTTGCGAGCAGCATTGCGGTCACACCATATGATACAATATGCGCTCAACTAGTCTGAGATAGGCTGAGCAATTGACTGAGGCCTACCGGGTCCCGGGTATCCTTCTTCATCAACGCACAAGGCTTAGCGCCAAGCCTGCCGAGCGAAACAAGACACAGCATCGTGCAAAGGAGTGGACTTTCCTAGTCACAGACAAGTAGCACCTGCTCACACGAGGCAGGGTCTCCAGGCTCTGCATACAGTGTGGCCAAGGTGAGCCGGTACAGTGGCTGGGCAGAATCGGGGCCCCGTAGCTCCTCTCCGGCAAGGGGTGGGGCCAAGGATCTAGGAACTACGTGCAACAGAGACTCAAACTCCGGCTCAATGCAGCATTGATTGAAACAAAGTCATAGCATTAGACATGCATTTAGTTGTACAGCATGTGAGACAGGCAGCCATCAGCCTTGCAGAAGAGAGACAGGACGTGGATAACTTGATGAGGGTCGCCAGCCAGCCCCACAGCCAAGACACGTCCTAGGTTAGCTCCTCAGAAGCAGAAATTATCTGCTTGTCTGTTTTGAAATGTAACCTTAAGCTCCGGTGCTGCGGCCAAGTTGCCAAGTTCCTGCACCTCCGGCGGCAAGCTTGCTTGAAAGCGATCTTTGCCTGAACCAGGAGTAGTTCAAACTTCATATTTCCACGGTCATGGAGGGGCTGGTCTCAATGATAGATGCACTTCCTCTCCGCTCAACCGACGCACTCTTGTGTTTTACTGCTTTCCCCCAGTACAGGCTCCAGAGCTCCGCCATAAGCTCCGCCACACGAACCACCCCACAGATGCCACGCTATGCCACGGTCACTCAGGGCGCAATTCGTCACAATGATTCCTAGAAAAACACCGATCTCACGATAGAGTCTCACTACGGAGAAGCTAGTACACCAATCAGTGCGCAAAGGCTCATTGCGGGTGTGCGAGATCCTCTCACCTAATGGATCTTGATCCTTTGGACGAACGGCGAGTTCGCAACACTTTGCGCAACGAACTCGCGGGAATGGACACTGGACAAACACATGCACATGGGCTGGATGATTCTAGACGGCTTGTCACCTAGTGGTCGCCGCTGGCTGTTACACATTGAGCGCTGTTTGTGCCGGCGTGGCTCGTGTTGAGTTCCCGTCCCGAAGTCAGGCGGTGTAGTCGAGGAGTGGCGTGGGAACATGTTTATCAATGCGACATGCAACTCGGCTATGGACACCCTCGTCGATTCTTGCTGTCACAATGACCGCAATCTGCAGCAAGCTTGACGCAGAAACTTTCCGCGGTAGTTTGTACGGTTCTTCTGGCCTAGTTGCCAAAGGGACTGCCAAAAGATTCCTTTTCTCGGACCTGAAGAGCTTGGGGGGATGTGATTCGAACACAGTTTGGATCACACGTGGCAGATCTCTGCACAGCAGGGATTCATCGAGAGAGAAAGAGATAGAGCGAGAGAGAGAGAGAGAGAGAGAGAGAGAGAGAGAGAGAGACCATGAAGACCATGAAGGGGGCATAAGGGGGCCACGAAAGCGAGGGCCATGAGATTACGAGTGACATGAGCCTGATGAGCGTCAGGAATCAGAGGCCGTCCTCGGCGATTCGCCTTCATCTGCCTTCATCCACGACACAGAAAACCAGCCTTCAAGCCGAAACCGGTAGCTTTGCTGCCTCATTTAGAGCATAACCGGAAACATACAGAAACACATGGCAGAGCATGTCGAAACGTTTCGCTTGTGGTACCGCAGATGACGATGTAAGTGTCAAAAGCCCTCCAATCCACCGACAGACATGAACGCAGGCGAGGGGGCGACCCTTCCAGCCAACACAGTCACAATGAGGAGTCTTTCATCTTAAGGCCAAAATCAGACAGTCGCACTTGGCTAAACCTTGTGCCGAACTCCAAACTGCTTGCTTTCGTGACTTCAATTCAAAGCGGTCTTAATCTGCAGATGGCGTCGATAGGTTCCTAATGAATCTGACAGGTACGCACCTGCTGCAGCCAGTGGAACGAGCTCCAAGCTTCCAGCAGTGAACAGAACTAGCCAGTTGCCGGCATTGTTGGCACAGTGATGGGAGACAAAGGGATCACGCGCAAGTACCGCATCCTGCTGATGAGGCTGCCATGACACCTCCAGGGATGTTCAACTAAAACGGCCTTGCAGGCCTTGCATAACCCTGATGATGCTGGATGCACCTCAGCCCCGTCCTGCTGTGAGATGCCGCGGTTGGGACCATCCGATATGTGCACACATCCCGTCTTTCCAATGGCCAAGAGGTGAACACTGTGAACACAATGCTCAATCTGCTCAACCTGCTCAACCTGCTCAACTCCCCCGCTGGAGATGGGCAGGAGGCGGTTGCTGCAGTTGCTCAAGGCATCGCCTGCCAGAATCCCCTCCTCACCATTCCACAAGTCTGTAGGGTCCTGCAAGACCTCACGGGAAAGGCAATACTCCTGAAATTGCTTAGGGTCCAACTTCCGGTTCAAGAAGTTGGCTTCCATGGCTTTGAGAACGAATTGAATCGCACTCGTGCCCCTCAGAAGTCTGGACTTTCAGCCGTGAGCAACTCGTGAGCATGTCTGAGCCTTTTCAGCATTCAATGCCAATGTGCCAATGCAATGCCTGAGCAAAATTGAGAGCACATGCAGCCAATGCCAGCTGAAAGGGTTGTGTCAAACTCTCTCTGCAGCCCATGTCCTCTACCAGGCATGCTTCCTTGGCTGCTTTCTTTCCTCTCTTTGGAAACACGTCATAAGTTGAGGTCCGGTTTTGCTTATAATTAACAACTACAGAGAACTAAAAAACAGTCCCAGGATCCTGGCATCCAGCAAACCAGACAAACGGTTCGCGAACACAGGCCGTTGTCCACAGTCCTCCATCCAGGTTTAGGTGCTGAGACAGTGGATCACACTAACTCCGTGCGGATGGACGTCCTGATGGTCGAGCCGCCGCGGTCCGGATGGTACGGATGTTAAGCGTGCCTCGGATCCCATGATAACTCTTCCAAGTTGCCGATAGCACAAAAATCAACCGGAGTTATTTAGCCGGCTTGTGGAATCCAACGATGCACTTTGCGCTGTTCCTGTGCACCACGCTAATCTCGAGAACCTTCGACCTGCCCTGGCTCCACGCCGAGCTGTTTGCACGCGGGCTGCTGCAGACCTTGTCCCCTTGAGGCGGACTTCCTGAGCCAACAGGCTCGGCTGGGCTCATGAAGCCAACAAAAAAACAACTTCTAAGTCATAAAGACTCTGCAGGGCTGCAAAAGCACCAGCGAAGACTGTCAAGTTGTCGTCCCGCAATCCACAAAATATCTAGCTACCATCCCTGCAAGTATCACAGGCGCCCAGTCGTTTGAGTCCGTTGCAAGACATACAGACAAAACGTTCTACCATCCGGTCATCCAGCTTTGGCCGAAGTGCCTTCGAGGCTTTCCTGGCTCCATATAGCTGGAGTCTCAAGTGTCTCACGCCCATTCCAGGAGACTTTAGGGGCATTTTGCGGGGTTGAGAGAAGCCTAAACAAGCCCAAAGCATCCAAAAGCCTGCAGTTTTGCTTCCCACTCCTGGGGGGCCGTTCGCTGCCAGCACCCCAGCCACCCACCCTTTGGGTGAGCGAGGCAGAGCTGACGGCACTGCGTGGCCTTGGTGTTCCGTTCAAGGGCTGTATCATTATAAGGAAGTGAACCGCCTGTCCTGACGCACATGCCTGAAGCCAAGCACAGGAAGCGTAGTAGGAACACCAGCAATCAAGGCGAGGCTTTTTTGCAGCTCGAAGCATCTCAATTTCCAGTGTTCGACCTAGCACAAAACTAGTGTTGCCACCTCGGGTGCCCATAAATGAGGTCGGAACTCCGCAATATTGCTACCGGGGGCGGGGGAAGTGCAACATGCCTTTCGGAAATTGCTCGGCCGCCTCGGCCTTTCCCGGCTGAGTGAATGCTACTGATGAAGACGTTCTGAACAAACCAGCCAGTGACAGCCCGGCCTATTTGAGCTCATCCGCTGTTGGGGAAGGGGTCCAGGTTTTTTCTTTCGTGTCTGTTTTGTACGAGTGCTTCTTGTGAGTTTATACGTCCACGCTTTCTACGTATCGTTTGTTCTTCTTTATTTTGTTTTGTGGCCGTCAGGCGATTTCGGTGGATTTTGCTAACGCAACCAGTAGTTTGCAAGTACTCCTCATGAGCTGCTGTTCTTTGCAAGACAATCTTTCAGGGCTTGAGAACTAGAATTTAAAAAAGCGGGGGTACGGGGGGGGGGGGGGGGGGGAGGCGGAGCAGCTCCTCCCATTTGCAAGTACCATGCTCGCACGACAGATCATGACGGGTTTCGAAAGGATGCGTATGTTTTACTGGAAAAGATCTTCATGAGCTGATGTTCTTTACAAAGCAAGCTTCCGGGGTTGATAATCACTACATGAAAAGGCCGGGGCTTGGGGGGCGCAACCCCGTTTGAGCGAACCATGCTTTAATGCAATGCAAGTCCTCTTCATGGACTGATGTTCTTTAAACAAGAAGGCAAAGGGGGTTGGGGGGGAGCAGCGCCCTCCCCCGCCCCCATTTGCAACACAATGCTCGCATGACAGGTTTCGAGAGAATTCGTATGTGTTTATCCAAGTCCTCTTCCTGAGCCGTTGTTCTTTACAAAGCAAGCTTGCAGGAGCTCGGAAACGAATCAAAAAAAGCGGGCCGGCTGACCGTCTGAATGTTTGGGCTATCCGCGAAACGCATGCCAAGGCTTCAGAGGATTCTGTGCAGATCCCAAAGAAACTTGAGGTGAGCCGTTTTGGTCAAGAAGTCCTACACTTGAGGAGTGGGCGGAGTTCTGATTTCACTGGCAACTGCTTGAACCATCATTAGCAAGGACATCGAAGTATCAATGGACGTGCAGGTGGGTAGTGGGAGTTGGACAAAAGCGATTGCTGCACGATGTGTTGGATGATTTGTGGCCGGGAGGTGTTGAGGGAGTGTTAAACAGTGATTGCGACGGTTGGGAATTACAATGTTCGGTGGGTCCCTCCAAGAAGCCTCCACAGACAATCATGGTTGAATGCGATTGACCACTTGCATCCCAAATACGATACATGGTCAAAACACTGGATATATAGTCTAAAGGAAAACGTGTCAAGCAGTTTTGAAGTGCACAAAGCTTTAGCCAGGCTGATGAAACCTGAAGGATATTGTGCAGGAGCAGCTCTTGAGGATCCCGAGGTAAACGGGACGGTGCAGGACATGGGACGTAAGCAAAGTGTGACTGCAACGACTTTGAAGATGCGAACAGCGGCTTGTATCAGAAGGACAGAGGAGTTGATGACCATGCAAGTGTTTGGTCAAGTCATAAAGCTCAGCGGACATGTTCCAGTTTGCAAGGTAGGGCAGTACTTGGAAGGTCTGGCTCGGAGAGGGCATGGTGCGAGAACTCGTTGAAGGCTTACCACGTTTGTTGAAAGAGCTTATTCTCTGCGTGCAGACAAGAGGTGGGAATGAGATAACCCAGGTAAGCTAAATACGCTCTGAGATTCGGGGTCGAACGAATTTGGGTCAGGATTTTGTGCGCTTTGGACATCTTCCAGATACCAGTGCTCATTTTCGCACTCCCAGGGCCCCAGCCTGTCACACTCCTGCCGGCAAGTCCACTTGGGATTCGCAAGAGGGTCCTTCATGCAATTTCATGCAGTAACTGCATATGCGTGGCAGCTGGCCTTTGATCTTTGGATCCCCGATCGTGCACTGAACTCGAGGAGCTTACTGCAAGAATTGAAGCCACAGAAAAGGCATTGCGTGGTGGAGCCTGCATCCCAGCAACGGAGCCTGATAGAGTTTGAACTGCATATTGCGCCTCACAGATCACTTGAGGGTGCTGCCGCTCCCATGTGCTTTAAGCCAAATTTGTCACCAGGTCACCATCATCTGTCGGGTCACCTCCTGACGAGTCTTTGTGTCGATGATGTGGCCTTGGCTCAGAAATCGGATCGACCAAATACCTGCAGTGAGCACTTGCACAGCCCTTGACAGGCCGGTGAAGTGCACACTCTCCATCTTTCTTCTTCTGCCGAGCTTAAGGAGCCCACTCTCTCTTTCTTCCTTCCTTCCTTCCTTCCTTCCTTCCTCTGCACTTGACCCCCCGAAGGGAGGCCGTCCCTAGGGGCGTGCTCAACCGAGTCAGTCTGTGTGAAAGCCCCTGATCTCCAGCTGCGTGGACTTTGCAGGGCTCCCTTTTTCTCTTTCTATCTTTCGCTCTTTCTCTTTTGGGCTTGGGATGCGCAGCCCGCGCCCCATTCGCACGCCCCGATATTCAGGGTCGTCTGCCTCTCTTTCTGTTTCTCTGTCTCTTTGCACGCACCGTTTGGGACTTGCCATCCAAGTCTCTCGTGTCATGCCAGAGCTTCCTCAAATCACACATTCCTTACATCACCGGCCCACGAAGGTACGAAGGTACAGATGAGCATCGCAGAACTGCTGTGAACACACAGAGCCATGTTGTTCACAGTTCCAGCATAGTTTGTCAGTGCGCAGAGTTAGCCATGTGGCCGGCACTCATTCCCTTGTGCCACCATGCCTTAATGGTTCCAATCGTCATGGAAAGCTGATAAATTTGATAGCTGTATCTAGTCCAAGCCTGCAACAAGCCTAAGCGCGGCTAAACCTAAACTCACGAGAAATACCGCCAAGAACTGTCCAAAACACTCTGCTGCTGCGCAACGCTGGAGCTTCCTGGGACGCCCGTGTCAATGCTGTGGGTCGCGTTGATCGCTGGGTTGTACAGCACGAGGTCGGACCTGCCTTGCGCAGCCCCCCAACTTGCCCTAAGGGCCAGTCAGCTCACAGTCAGCTCACATCTCTCACATCTCTCACATCTCCTTTTCTGAGTAAGTGCGTGCAAATATGCTCACATGGGACTTGGGACACATTCAACTATAGGCACAAAAGTTCGTGCACCTGGGTGGAGGGATTCTGGCGTTTAGGGTCTTGGACTTGTTCTCGTGTACCAGGTGTCCGAAGTGCACCCTGCAAGAACCCACCCGCAACCTAAGACAAACATCGAAAAGACCCTGGCCCTCAAGCAACACACGCTCCAACAATGTGCTTTTGGTTTTACAAGAACCGTGCCCTGAAATTCGTAGCTTCGAGATAGAACAATGAATAGTCGCTTCAGACAAAGGCCGCCTGTGAATGAGCAAAGCGAAAATTCCCAAGTGCACTGTTTCTCTGACAAGAAGAACAATGCCCTGAAGAGAGGCACTGCGACATGAAGCAAACCTACAAGGTAAGGAATGCTTGCAAAGGAAGCTTCATTCGAGCAGTGCTATTACTATTAGCAAAGCTCCCGAAAAAAGCATGCCCCGAAGTGCCCTGAAACCCCCTCGTTCTCCCACCATGTTACAAGCATTACAAGCCCTCCAGTCCTAAGTCCGCCGCCTGGAGCTACCCACGGTTTCCGCGGCCCCAAGGCACCACCGACCCTGATGGCGAGGCAGCTGGCTTGGCGACTAGTTTTTTGGGTTTTGCCGCCCACCTCGCTGGACTCGAGTCCGCTTTGCTGGGTATTTGTTTTCACTGTTGTGCAGACAAAACATGCTAGTTGGGAGGGTTTCTCTCACCAGGCCATCGCGGTGCAGCAAGTCGCCCTGGGACCTGGGTACTCTGGCTACATGGTTCATGGGTCCGACACGGTCTCACCTCAGCGTGCGATGTACATGACGAGACCAAATTCGGAGCCGAACTGACTTGGGGATATCTTGTAGGGCTATGGTGGCTTGGTCTCTTGTGCACCGCTAGTCGGCTTGAAGCAATCTGCTGAGGTTGAAGGCCTGAGGTGTTTGAGGTAAAAGAACTGAAGCCCATCCCGCCTTTAGGTCGGGTCCCTGGTAGGGTCGGCGTGACAATCCACCAACTTTGGGGAGCACAGCTCAGCAGCACGCAAAGGACTGAAAAGAAAGGACTGCACATGCGCAAGGATGTGGTTTGATGTACTCTATGCACAAAGACCAAGCTTTGTGCCACTGTCATGTCGTCGCAAGCAGCAGGGGCCCACAGCTGAGGCGTGTGCTTGGAGACAGTTTCTGTGCTAGCATAGCATGACTCAGCATGACGTTTATGTGCATTCTTCTTCCACGCGGGATATCCTGGCCTGGAATCTGCAAGGCTCTAAGTGATCCTGGTGAATACGTCTGTTGGGGCAGTGCCCTTGTATCATCCATGAACCAGAACCACTACATGCTGCACGAGAACTCGTATGCTCAGAAAGTGGTGTCGTTGTGCAATGCACAATGATTCGGTTTGTGCGGGGACTTACCTGTGCGACCAGCAAGCTTCTCAAAGCCAATGCCTGGTCGGTGTCACCGCCCGGATGCTGCCGGTGCTAAGGCATCGGCGCTTTGAAGCCATGGCGTGGATTTCGACTTTGAGGTTCACGACTGTTTAAAAGCTTGGGGGTCCAACTCATGCCGGCAGCTCTTGGATCAACCTGGACGTCATCAAACTGTCTGCAAGCTATCTCTCTCCGCTCTGAGCAGGCCGGGGCATGGCAGGCCCGGATCCCACAGAACAGACGCATACTGAGACCCGGTTGCGCTTCCTGCTCTTTTTTCCTCATGCATGCTGAAAGCCCATGCTCCTGGCGATGCAGGGGTGGCGACATCCCGGTGGCTGTGCTTCCAGTGTGCCGGAGGAGCTAGATTGAGGCATTATTCAGTGCACTTCCCGTCACACAATGTCACGTAATTGCATGGTCACAAGTGCCATCTGGCAATGTTGTACATCGAGACAATGTGCTGCTGTGGTTTGCATCTTTGCCACCAAAGCCAGGCTCCAGTCACTTCTTGACTGCAGCGCAGCGTGCTCTTCTCCTGCGCAGCTCAGCATGTCAGCATCCCTTCCTGAGTCGTGTGGTGCCTTGGGATTCTGTTCTAAACCCTGCCAAACTTATGCTCTATCAACAGCTATCTGGGAACTTTGGCTCCACGGGCTAGGAGGGGCTCTGACAAAATGCTGGCTTTCCCTTGTGGCCTCAGCGCCGTATGAACCGCTTCTCCGTCTTCAAGTCGCTCACCTGGTTGGTTTTTAGGGAAAGCTCGCACGAATGTCGGCTCCCCAAATGGCTGTTAATTACTTGCATGGTTCAGGTGTGTGCAAAGTCTGCAGCACCTCCCTCAGCCCCTCAGCCCCGCGCAATGCGCGTAATTTCTGCCAACTCCTCCGGACCATGTGCGAACGGACACGCTGTGCCGCGTGTGCCTGAGAAAGCATGCCAGTGTTCTTCAGGTATGTTTCGATGCTTATGCCTGATGGCCCTTTTCTCGCAGCTATGCCGGCCTGTGGTTTGAAAGCTCAGCCCAAACCCTGGAACAACGTTGTAGAAGGCAATGCCCAACATATGTCTCAATGTGGAGTTTTGGAGTTCCAGGGCCACAGCACTGGCCCTTCCGGAAGTAATGGCCTTGGAGCACTGGCATCGCGGACTTGAGTGGTCTTGCATGGTCTTGGTGGTCTTGTTCTTGTGAGTTGTCCATTAACCAGCAAGGGGCGCAAAAGCTTGAGACCGTCTGCATAAGGTTGATCGACAGCATAGCCTTGAAAACCGCAGTTGGCGGCCAAGGAGCATTCTTCAGCGCGCTTTTTGTGAAGTGGCCTGAGGCTTTGGTAGTCTATCTCAGGCCTTCTAAGTACAACTCCAAGTCTAAGGACGTGGCTCATTTTTGACTGCTTTCTTAGGGCTGCAGCTGAATCAAGCGGCCTAACATTGTATGACGTGTAAGCCTGGAGTCTATCCTCAGATTTGGAATTAGTATGGCAGCGTCCTCTTGTTTAGGATCCAAGGGTTTCGACTCTCAGCTTCCACCCAGAAAACGCGTACCGCCTTTCCTTGCAGGTACGCAGACCGCCCAGGTCGGCAGTGCTCCAGGTGTAGTCGAATACGCCCACCCCAAACCACAACAAAATCCCTTCGCCTCCCTGCTCGCGCGCGACTCTGCTACACATCCGAACTTCGCTCCAACTTGGCATTCGTCAAGAAGCATCTTTTACTCCCTGGCATCAAAACGCCTTGCCCCGACTAAACGTTCGACTTGAAGATCAGCTCTGGTGCCCAAGCTCGGACTGGAAGACTCTGAAGCTCCCGGCTTCAGCCGTCAATGTTCAGGACAGAAGCAGCTTCTGTGCTGCGGAAAAGACACGAGGAGTCGAGCGAGAATTGAATGGTTTCCGGCCGCGTTCAAAAGATGCTCTTGAGTGAGCGTGGCCACGACTTTGCGGGGCTGGAACCGATTGCCTCAAACTGATGCCCACGATGGCCTCGTGACGTCCGCGCAAATTGAATGCCCAGCGCAAGGGGCATACCAAGTAGCCCAGCAGGCCGAGGAAGTTGCACAGATGAGGGCGCTTAGACATTTAGCTTCGCGCGCTGCCAGTTGATTGCGTTCGGTGGGCCGCGGCTTTCCTATGTATCCCGTGGAGTTGGGGCGTGTTGATTCGGGCTTCGGGGCTTGATTCACCCGGGCTCACTCCGCACCATACGTGTATGCTTTGCTTGTGCGATTGTGCGCAGAGTTTGGCCGTTTCACTTTCAAGTTGCAAAGCTGTCTGGAATCGCGCGATCCACCACTGGGAATCGAGAATACTTCTGTAACACCGACATGCTCAGAACTCAGCCTGAGTTGCAAGCCGAGGCTGCAGGTCCTGGATGTCGTGCGAGAACTCACAGATGGTCTGTCAGGGCAGAGCATGGGCGCTTGGAGGGCCCTGCAATCACAAACTCACGCAAACTCCAAAGTCACCTCCGCACATCTCCATCGAGAGCACATTGCTGTAGTTGCAGATGGTTGTGGCATGGCCTACTCCAATTCTCTGCGCAATGTGCTGGCCTTCCTGCACTGGCCCAGCAAGAACCACTTGCAGGGGACCTGACGAAGGTCAAAAGTGATTGGACAGGAACCGAGCCCAGGAATTATGAAAGGAACCGAATTTTTGAGGGTTTTCAGATCATTCAATGTTTTTCCCAGACAATCCATCTGAAGGTTTCGTGTGGTGAAGTGTCCTGTATTACCTGTCCGAGAATGGCAGGATGGCACTTTTTGCCTCGCCCTTTGGTGTTCTGCTTTTGATTTGTTTGCTGCTCGCTTTGTTCCACGCCCTTTGCACTCTGCTCGATTTTTGTTTTGTCTTTGCATCGTGCTTTGCTCTACGCCTTTGGTATTCTACTTGTCACGCTGTTCGCATCTTGCTGTCTTTTATTGGGTGGGAGGGGGGGCTGCGCCTATCTCTCCCACCCCCGCTTATTGTCAACTAACAAATGCCTGGCAATGGTTACGTAACTTTTCCAATCAAGATACAGAGGACTGAAAATCAAGAGAAAATGGACGAGTTCTTCTTGAAACTCACAGGCCTACAGAGAAAACTCTATAGAAGAAAAAAGCGAGAGGAAATGGATAAATATCTAGATAGGGTGGAGAGAGAAAGAGAGAAAGAGAGAGGGAGAGAGAGACAGAGAAAAACACATTTACCCACGCAACTTGAATTGAGGTTTGTCTGTGAAAATCTCGAAAAATTAATCCGATAAGCAAAGCCGCAATAAACACCTACAGGGCTTTGGTGTGAAACACATCGAAAGTAGAGGCCAATCAAAAAGGAGGAGATGAACAGGTCTTCTTCTCAAACAAGAGGAACTACCAGCAGAGGTTTCCTTTGCTCTATACAAAGTATAGAGGAAAGAATCAAGGACCTCTGGTAACGTATTGAGGAAATGAAGGCGCCCGCGTTGTATTCATCTACAGAGAGCGCGATGTCGACCACGGAATGTGCCCGCGCGCTCGCACGGGAACGTGGGTTTAAGCACAGCGAGCACGTGTGATATCCACCACGGAATGTACGTGTGACCTAGGCCAGAGCGTCAGTTTGGTACCTGGAACGATGCAAAACCTTGCGCCTATGCCAAACCCAAAAACCAAAAAAACATCCTGTACAAAAAGGGGAATGGCGGCCCATGATTGATTAACAATTGCTGCTTCCGCGTGGTGTGCTGATGAAAACACAGGCGACCATGACCAACCGTGACTGACGTAGCGGACGCACGTGCAGCATTCTCAGCCGCAAATCAACCCCACAGTGGCCTTCGACTTTCCAGCCTGTCCCGACATCTTGTTGACTAAGTCTGTGGCCTGCGTAGCCATCAGAAAGAACTTTCGGGCCGCATTGTGCTGCAGGGCTCTGAGTAAGATGGTATTCTCAAGAACTGCTCTCGGGGCAACCATAGATATGTATGTATATATATTACGGTATTGTATGGTATATCTGTGTTATATATATATATATATAATGATTTTATTTTATTTTTCTAAATTTCACTTCATTTTATGAAGCATAACCAGTGGGTAGACACCAGGAAAGGCCCCCCCCCGCTGCCTGGAGTCGACAGTTTATGGCTGCCTGCTCGGCGGCCTCTGCTTTTAGTGTTGTTTTTCAACTTCTCGTTTCAAAGGGTTTTGGGTTGTTGTCGGATCGAGGACTCGTAAGGCATGGAGGGGCTAAGGGTTGCTGCAATGAGCCTGCAGAAGCATGGCGTGCCCGGCGAGATTCATCATGAGACTTTAAACGCCTCTGTGGTGCACAATTCTGGAAGCGATGAGGCCTTGGGCTACAATAAGCTGTTGGATGCAATCCCCAACAGAAGCCTTGAGTAACGACTCTCCCTGAATGCATCTCTGGTTTCGCCCTCGGCGCGGCCTCGGAGGCTTGGAACGTGACTGTTCTGAGACTGGCGGTCCAGTCGTCCTGGGGCTTAAGCCGGTTTCTCCGTTTACTTATTGCACTCAAACTTACCGTTTCACACTGTAACGACGCTGAAACAGAAGCCTGCAAAATGCAAGAGGTTTGCCGGCGCGGCATCCTCAACTATTTAGGGCAAGGATTGCAAAGGTACGCGTATTTATGAAGATCAAAGCATAGGTCGATGGGCTCCTCAGGCGGCTGTCCGGGAAACGGCTCCGGAAAACAAGTCGCCAGAGTGCTAGAAGCCTCGGAAATCGGACAAAGCCTGGGCCCAGGCCCACAGATCACAACAAGTGCGAACCCGGAGCTGCGCAGCACTTGATGGAAACTAGAAAGCAGAAACGAGACCCGCACCCAAGAGGCCCTTGCTGCCTCGGATCTAAGTTTGGCGTCTTAAGAAGGTTAGAGGTGCTTTGACGAGAAGGGGTAGGTTCAGGCTCTGACAAAGTGGGGAGGACTGAGTATGGTTCAGGGATCATTGAGAGCGAGACCTTTGCAGAGTAAAAGCCTCAGGGGTGTCACGTAGCGTAGGGAGCCGCCCGAAATGGCGAGACCAGAAACCCACCCGAAAACACCAACATGGAAGAACTCCAACGCCCTTAGGAGCACCAGTTTGCTATCCTTCAGACACGCACCTGTTGCGTAAGTACTCTTGGTCAAGATCCACCACACAGGGCCCGAGCAGGACATGGAGCTAGCTTGCCCTGCGATTGCCCTGAGCTTCTTGCCGCCTGCTGCGCAGCCTCCGCGATGGCGGCAACTTGGCTTGGATCAGACCTCAGCGAGAACCGGAACATGCGTCCCAATCCCATTCTTGAAAACTCCGAAGCTGAAAGCTCGAAGAAGTGTTCATCTGTGCCCCACGGGAAACACAGGCAGCCAAAACAATGCATCAGCATCAGCAAAACAAGGTCTACCGATCTTTGCCGATGGGAGCCAAAGCCGAAACGGACGAAACTAAACAAACGCCTCTACGACGCAGAGAACAACAACCCAAAACAAACTTGCCTTGTTCAGCCTTGTTGAGCCCTGAGGCCGAGGTGCTTACAGGTAAAACTCGACAATACTACGTTACGACGAATTCGATATATTCTCCAATACTCCCCCGAGGCCCGAGACTGCGACTCTGCTCCATTCAAGCACGCAGCTGCAGAGGCCGCAGTTTGTGCAGACCTTAATAGCTGAAAGAAGTTGCGGCCGAACATTTTGCGCTCAAATTTGGGTTTCGGTTCGGCTCTCTGCATTAGGCCTATAGGGCCTCAGGTTTCAGACTCTCAGCCCTCACGTAGTGCGAAGCTCTCGTACTAGGCAGGCAACTATACAATGTGGCTGCTGGACTGTCGGAAGGTCTCTGTCAGCACCAAATTAAATTTTGTGCTGATTGGATGAGAAGAGTTCTCCATATGCTTAGGTTAAGGATGTTGCGTGGCCCGGGGGCACGGCTCCTCTGCTAGCTGCGCCAGCATGTACATCTGCGAAGCTGCCGTGCTCTCCTGGGTGCTGGGCCCCTGTTGAAGCGTACTGAGACATGTCGAGACCGAGGCCCCGAAGCCCATCACTCAGCCGAGACGGAGGTGTGATTTTCCCGAAGGCATTGCAAAGGCTATTTCCACTGACTGAGTGGCTAATGCTTGATGACAGGTGAGAGCTCACTGCTTGCCTGGAACCCCTTCTCCCTTCCTCGAATTGTTTTTTGACCATTATTGCCCTGTGCTGATGCCGGAGGCGAGGCCGGTGAGAGGACTGTCGCGTTTTGGGCGCATGCGCTGGGAACATGTTATCTAGATACCTTCTTCGGGCTCAACAGTGGCAACCCCTCTCCTTTCATGCGGCCTCCCAAGAGTGGCAGCATTCTCGGTGGATGCGGCGTCGAGCTGTCGTCGTGTTTTGGATCATCGTATCTCAAAAGTGGAGCGGCATGTTGTCGCCATTCGCGAGTGTCGGTGCCGCTATCCTCGTGCTGGTCTTTGTTTGAGGGTAGTTTAGCGCCCCACGGTTTCCGATTCGTACAAAAACGTGCTTCGCATTGCTTAAAAAACTCACTGCTTAAGACTGCTTATATTGCTTGCCAATTTTGCGGGACAGGCTTGGCAAGTCGGCGCTTTCTGCATCCTGACATGGAAAATTCGAATGGTGATCATGACGGTATGACAATTGACGACGACGAGGATGAAGACGAGGGATGAATCATGATGAAAAGGGATGATGCTGCTCATGACACGGACTTCTCGCTGTCATTTTCGGGCCATCCATTGCCTAGTTCCTCGGTGTCGCGAGTTGCTGGCTTGGTGTCTCTGCATGAGAGGCCTACCGATGTTCATGTATCATCAGGCTTCAATTCGGCTTACACCGACATACGCCCCAAACCTCTTATGATTTCGCTCTCAGCCATCATCTCCATTCGGAGGGGAAGCGGAGGGGGGGGGGGGGGGGCGCATGTCCCCGTCATTCGCAAACGCTCGTGCAGAGCATAAGTTTCCGTTTAGGGATGTTTGGGGTGTGTACGCCTTCACTTCCCATATTCCACGTCCGGGACTTTTCGCAACAGAAACCGAATGAGGCTAGCGTATCGCACGTCGAGCACAGCTCTCCTCCCAGGAGGGCGCGGGGGGTCTGCGAAACCCTACTGGTAGGGTCCAATGGCCTTGCGCAAAATTCCCTGTGATCAGCTACTGTACCTCAAGAAAGATATTGGAAAACCCACATCCTGTTCTTCATAGAAGGAAGAAGCAGTCGAAGCTAGAGATTACAACCAGCCAGGGATGTTCCCCCTTATACTATCTGTCCTTAATAGGGATTATAGTACCCCCTGTTATAATCCCTATTAAGGACTCTGAGAATAAGGGGGGGACATCCTAAATTCAGACTCAGATCTAAACCGAAAAGCTTACGTCAGAAGCAACCAGAATTCAGAAAACAAAGTAGTGCAAGGGAAATGAACATGATCTCAGCAAAAAACCAGCAGCGATAGATAAACACACAAGTTTGGGTTACGACAATGGATGTTTAGGCAGGGCTCAGTGTGTGCTAACACTGCTTCTCAAATTTCAATACCCTGAGACGTCAGGAACTTCCGTGAGACCCTTGCACTTGTCCAGAGTAGGCAGATCAAGGGTTTCGCCTGCGCAGAAAGACTGCGCCCTGCTCTGTTCTGTGAAATCGCAAGCTGAGTGACAACAAACATTCTTATTGGGGAGTAGCCGCGCTTGCACAACTTGAAAAAGACGCGTGCCGAAAGTGCCACGCCTGCCTCACGAAACAGATGGCCCGATTGAAGGGCACAGGTTGCTTGGGCAGAGTCTGTGGCCCTGGTAGGCTCAGATCGACAGGCACAGGTTGATTTAATGGGTTTGGGGCCCTAATCGAAGGGCACAGGTTGCTGACGCAGATGGGTCTGGGGCAGGTAAGGCAGATTGAAAGCGCAGGATGGGGCTTGGGAGGCCAGACTGAAGGGCAGGATCCGGCCCTCCAGGGCCCCAAAACACATCAGCGGTGTAAAAGTGGTGTAAACAACCTGTGCAAGCCTCTTCAGTGCAAACAACCTGTTCCCTTCAATCTGTCTTGCCTCCCAGGGACTCGGACCCCGTAGACATCCCTATCGGTTCCGGTTTAAGTGTTGGGGGCTGCTATCGTAGTGGTAAGCGTCATATGCGTCATCATCTCATCTGACAAGAAACTCAAGATCGGCTACATGACTCACCAATATACTCCCGAACTCGCGTCCGACATGCTCTGATTGCGGTGGGCTTGGCTTTGGGTTCCAGGCTCGACCTTGTTCAAGCGCCCTGTCCACGATGCTTCCTGTTTGCGAAACATGCCCAAAACATGCCTCAGCTTTGAGAACAGGTTGCGTTGTTCCCCCGAAAACCTCTCTGGGAAAGCGCGATATCGGATGGCGTTCTGACGGTAGAGTCCCGGTAGAGGCTGCCAAGAGGAGACAGTCAGAGGAGATGGCGCGACGGATGTCCACAGAGGAGAGGGCGCAGGAGAAGGCGCCAGGAGGTTGACGGAGGAGAGGATGCGGGGAAGTTGATGTGGTCTTTGACAAGGAGGCGCCGGATTGTGATGGTCGTGTGGAAGAGGCGTGGACAAGGGTTGGAACGCGATCTCCGGTCGACCGGGAGGCTGCAGGAGAGCTGCAGACGGGTGGGGGCAGGGGAGCGCGAGACAGGAGGCGTGCGCAAGAAGGGGGGGAGGGGGGGAAGGGAGATATCCGGTTGACACACGCTCGGCATTTAGCCCCCAAGGGTGCCGCCCCGAAGAGCGTCTGTGTGTGAGACTGTCCCTTGGTTTGATGAATCGTACTTAACCTGCACTAGATTACCTCCTAAGCCAGAGACTCGACCGGAACTCTCTAGCTCGCTCGCTTGCTCGGGTCGCAAAGACATGTGCGGCAGGGAAACTGCTGCAGTGCTGCGCACCAGCCTTCATCTTGCTTAGCGATTATTCAGTGATCATAGACATGCGCATAGACTGGGCATGCCACAAGATGTTTGCCTTGCTTTACAATTAAAAACACCATTAAGCGCATCTGCTGTGGGAGAAACATAGCAATGACATGACACGATGGGAAGAGAGAAAAATCGACCTACGCAAGTCGGATTCTGAGAGAAGGCGAAAGAACACAACAAGTCAGCAAGATATGCATATGTCACATGTCGATGAGGTCGTAGGTTAGAGTGAGGTTCAGAGGGGTTCTAGGTGATGCAAAGCAACTCACAGCCGCTGTCACAGCCGTCAGGGCTAAGTAATCTCGCGGGGTGATCTGGGGTGCCAGCGCCGCTTTCAGGAGGAGCCGGCCTTGGCACGAGCGAAGCCAGAAGCGCGGCAAAGGCCAAAAGCTTTCGATGGGAAATATTGGCAAGCGCAACTCACAGCTGCCAAATGCTGACTCGCTCAGGAGGTGGCGCGGCGACAGCGCGTGATGGCTGCACGCTGCCTGTGGTTGGCCTCGGGTTCTCAAAAAGAGTTTGCAAGAGCTGTTTGCCATCGGATCAGACTTAGCGAGGATTAGAACCATCAAGGCCTACAGGCGCGGATCAGTTGAGAGCCGCTGTGCCAAGCATTTCCAGGCATGCACTGTTTTGCATCATGAGCATCAGTTGAGAGCGGTTGGTCCGACATTGCAGTCGTGGCATGAGTTGGCCAGCAGGCACGGTTGGTCCCGCTGCACTGCTGTCGCGGCCAGCAGGCGCATGATGAACATAAGTTGTGTGTGGTTAGTCCCTCGCCTGGCCAATAAGAATCCAATAAGAAAAAGGCCAGAAACCAGCATTCGCGAAACACAAGAGATCATTGCATCTGCACAGGATCTCTTTAGGCGACCGCCTGCCGGCTCCGTCGTACCACTACTTCTTGCAGCCAAAGGGCAGCCCCAGCGAATGTCCAAACCTCAGACACACGCATGTGCTGGACTTCTCTACACTGTTGGAGTACCCCATGCGTCAGGAAAGCGTGAGTACCAAGCCCCTTAATTGCTATATGAGTTGTTCGGCAAGGAGCAGCCCTCAGTTATTCGGTGCTCTACTCTTCGCCCCAGGCCAGCCCGGCACACTAGTTCAAGCGTTGCTAAACTTTGTGGCCCTCAAAGGCATGGGCTGGGCATCGCCAGTGGCCGCACCCAGCGAGTCCAGCTGGGGCAGTGTCGGCATCTGGGCGGGTGTGCGCTCGCACAATGCAGCAGATCAACCGCGCTCTGACCGTGTCTGCAGATCACGAAGGGAGACAAGTTGCAAGAGTCTTGGAAGAGTCTTGGACCGAGTCTTGGAAGCGCCTAAGAAGGCCACAAGTCCCTGAGCTGATGGCAGGAACAGGTGGTGCCGATGGTCCAGGGTCCGGTGGTGCCTGGATGCCGGCCACTGCCTGCTTTGGCGGCTTTACAGTTGAACGTCAGGCGGCCGTTTTCCAGCGGGATTCGAATTTTTGGGCTAATGCCCACCGAAGACCCCCCTCAACCTGCACTGCATCAAGCACCCTGACCCTGGCATCGGTCTATCGACGACATCGATGTGAGCTAGCTGTTGGTTCCGACACGGCGACCACTCGCCTCTAAAGCGCTGAGCTTGCCCGCTGCCATGGCCTGGTGATTCGGGACCCCGAGAAAGTCCTAAAGGTTCCAAGTAAGGACCATTCAATTTCAGGAGATCTTCTTGTGGGGGTGGGCGCGGGGAGGGGCTCTAGGCTTTAGTATCGGAGTGGGTACTTCTAGCAAAATGGTCTTTGAGATGAGTGGTTGCCTCTTCTTCGTCCGGAAGTCGAGCCGGCAAGTCCAAGAATCCTAGAAATGGAAGAAATGGAAGTCGAGACTCCCCAAATATTCGCAGATGCGGCAGAAGAATGATCGATCGAACCCTTCCCGAGTCCCTCGGCCTGGATTCTTGCTTGCAGCTCCTGCTCGGATTGACTGCCTGCTGCTGGACACGTGCCCGGCAACAAGGCGGATGCCTGAACACCGGAGAGACAAATCTGAAACACTCAAGTCCCAGATTTCAGCACCGATTCCTTTGAGTTGACACTGCGTGCAAGCGCGACCAGCTTTGCTTCCGATGTCTTGTTCGTGCACATGTGCGAGCGAGCCAGTCAATTATCTATGCCATGCAATGAGGAGTTCCTGTATAACGACGAGGTACTTGTCACCCGCGCACGTGCTGGACAGATGCAGACTACCTCACGCCAGCTTCTTGTCCTAGCCGCCCAGTCTCCGGATTTGTCGGGAGAATTTAATTCTAAACAGGAAGAATGAAAAAAAACACACACACACACACACACACAAAAGCAGAGGAGAAGCTAGTCGCCGTGGTGCGCAGTCACAAGCACACAACAAAAAACCAAACCGTCCGTTGCGAATGCTGCAACTCACGCGCGAGCTTCAAGCTGTTTGCCCTTAGCCTTTGAGCAAACTCCTGAAAAGGGCGTGAGAATTTTACAGTAGGATGAGAGTATTGTCATACTAGACTATTAGAATAAGAAGATTTAAGATAGCATTATTCGAATTTCTATCTTGGATCCTTGGATCCCATTCGCCTTGGGAGTGTGCTCCGTGAGCCCGCGCAGCGCAGGGCCTCGGAGACAGAATAAGTCTGTGCGCGGGACCTGACCCGATTACTTGAGGGCATCCCGTGTTGGAGGTTTTTGAGGTTTGTTTGTGGAAATTCTGGAGGGACGCCGATCCTCTTACACCTCAATCTCGAACACATCCTGAGAACCCAGGGTCGGGATTTTTTTCAATTGCAAGCTTCACAATCTAAGCCAACAATGGGATGAACGGCACTACCAACCCATACAACCCAGTGCGTGCAAGGCTTTCGTCTTCCCAATTGGGAAACCAAGGCGCAGCAGTAGGGATGGCAACTTGGCAAAGGCCATCAAGAAACAGAGAGGTCTCACACGGCTCTGGGAAGCCCCACGCAAGGAGGGTAAACTCCCGCCTATTGAAAGACTCGGCAGGCCTGGCAAGCCTGGCAGGCCTGGCCATGGGATGTTGCAAATCTGCGGTCATGTTGGCAGCTTCGTGTTTGGGCTGTTGGGAAGGTGTCCAGCGCATTCCAGTTTTGAAGCTTAAAGCTTAAAGCTTAAAGTGAGGTTGGGCTGCAAGGACAGGAACCGGAGATGCCCGTGCCTGGACTGAGATACCCGGCTGTGGCGAAACAGAGGCTTGCGCGAAAGTATGGCCCCACAAGGCAAATAGGAAATGTTGGGAATGTGCCGTTGCACACTTCCTTCACCTACGAACTAGGACAACCATGAAATCAGAGGTTTGCTTTCAGCCTGATGCTGAAGGCGAGAAACAAAACCCTGAGAGCTTCAAAACCCGAAACCCGAAACCCGAAACCCGAAACCGACAGCTTCCTGCAGCGGCCGAAAGATCGCTCTGATGTGGTTGTTCGGCCACCAAAGCCGCACCTCCAGCAACTGAAAACTGTCGAAGGTTACAGTGTCCGGAAGAGAACGTGCAAACATGGTCTGCTTGAAACACCTTGTGCAAGTATCACATACATACATAAAAAACAATGTAGTATATTACGGTTCAGAATAATGAATTGTGTCTACATATGATGCACTGTAGAAAGTGCTTCAAGCAAACGCCAAATCGCTTCAGATGACACCAGTTAAACAGACTCAATCAAAGCAACTGAAAGCATGGCACCGCGCTTTCCGGGGTCCACGGAGCTGAGCGTAGCTTTTGATCTATGTTCTTTTGTTTGCTTGTGTCTTTGACTATTTGCAAACTGTAAACATGTGCATTCAACTTGCAGTATACGCCCAGGAACAAGACGCTAGCTAGGGAACCGCTGCAGCGGGAGCATGACACCAAAGACTACAATACTGCTTCGATTGCAGTACATCTGTCTATTTGAAGGCTTGCTCTTGGAATTGCCAGTTTCAAGCCGATAGCATTAACTTCTTACACTTTCTGCATCAGCCCATTTTGCTTGCCATTCGCGATACGCAAGTGCCCCCTGAGGCGGTTGCGGTTCTCAGACAGCTTGCATCATCGCCATGCGCATGGATGTTGGTGCTTGGACGTCTTACATATCGTGGTGCTCACTTTCAAATACCCGCAAAGTGGAAAAACAACTGCTTCAGAGGCATTAGCTCACAAACCGTGGTTTGATGATCGTGGTTCGGTATATAAGCAGGCAGGTTGAGTTACACAAACGCCCTGAATGCTCAAGTTATGATTTGTAGTACAACACCTAAACTGACAAGCCTCGTTTTCAGAATGGCTTAAATCCTTTGGTCATTGGGAAGCTTTTCGGGATTTCTTTTCTCCACTTTCTTTTTTTTGGGGGGGCGGGGGGAGAGTAGCTGTTTTTACGTCTTCATTGCAGACAAGAATACCCCCTACTCTGACGCTTCAAGCGCCCTGGAATCCCTGGAGCCAGGGGAGCCTACACGTTTGTTTTGGGGCTTAGGGTTGCATGTCAGACCGTTCGGTTCGTAAGCTGAGCATGAAAGGATCCAGCTCTATAGGGGAACATCAAACAGCAAAAATCTAGTCTGTAATGGTAACAAAAGCCCATCTCCCTCTCCAGGCGAGGCACCTGGCAGAGTCGGTGCAGGGGGCGGAAACTGGACGGAGCCTTGCCCACTCTCAGCATCTGTGTAAGAGCGTCAAGCAAGTTCTAGCTGCGGCTTCTGCTAAAGAGATACCGCCAGATTTCATTTCGGTAGCACAGCTTCGAGCCGCATTACAAAGAGCAGCTTGAATCTTGAAATAGTCCCCAAAGGAAAGTTCAAGGCAAACGCGCAAAACAAAGATGATCAACCGGTACATTCGAAGCCTTCAAGGTTCTTGGACATACCATAGCTGGTCAGCGTTTGCATCGCGGACAAACGCTCCGATTCTTGGCACAGTCTTGAATCACACCGCGCACGGCTTGGGGGCAAACACTGTTCTGCCCCTCGCCTGGATGTTGGGATGCCGAGCCCAGGCCATTCGTCGAGGCCTCAGCAGCTCACAGGGATCCAGGGTATTTTATGACTGAACTTGTAGGATCTTGTAGGTTGGCTCGGGGTCCCTCACCCGATACAATGCTCGCTTGCGGGTTTGGGCAAACGTCGGGTAAACCCTCCTCCACACGCTCTCTTCTGCTCCTTCTCCTGCCTGGCATCTGGGAGGAGGGTGTTCCAAAGTGGATGTCAAAGAGTGCAACCGTTGGGCTGCATTGCTTGAGGGGTCGAGAGTCTTGGTAGCAGGTGTAGGGGACAGGACAAAGAAGGGACAGCTGCAAAACCGGCAGAATGACATCTTCAAGGGATCTCACTGCCGGCCGGGAAGGGGCCCGAAGTGCAGGGATGCCTAAACCAGCTGAATAGCAAGTCCGTCCTCACAACACGATTTCGGACACTAAGTCACTAAGCCCAAGCGGGTCTCTGTCTCGGTCCCGGCCCCCGCGCACAACCGCCCACGGTCCAGAGTCTTCTTCTTCTGTGCATTAGCGGCACGCATCACCCCCAGAAAGGCGGTGTGTCTCTCTCTCTCTCTCTCTCTTCTTCCACACCTTCTTCTTCTCAGAGTGCTTGGGGCACGAATCCTCCGTGCAGCCGCGAGCCCTTGGCTCGCGGTGTCCTTGTCCGGTACTGAGGAGTCGTGAGTTGGCGCTCTCTTGCTCTCTCTCTCTCTCTCTCTCTCTCTCTCTCGGCTTGTCTTTCTTCTTTCTTTTCTTTCCTTTTTTCCCGAATGCTCCGCAGAAGGGTTCCCGTTTTAAAGTTGGTCTGGGAGGTTACCCAACGTCGTTGCGTTGTGTCCGCAAAGCGTCCGCAAAGCGTTCGCAAGCGTCCGCGAGTGGCGTAACGCGTGCTGTTAAGGGGGAAGTCCACAGGACGCGCGCCGACGCGGCGTTCCGTGGTGTTCCGAATCCGTCAAGCTAAGGGGGAATTCCACAGGACGCTCGCCGACGCGGCGTTCCGCAGCGTTCCGAATCCGTCAAGCTAAGGGGAACTCCACAGGACGCGCGCCGACGCGGCGCTCCGTCGCGTTCGAAATCCGTCAAGCTAAGGGGGAATTCCACAGGGCGCTCGCCGACGCGGCGTTCCGCAGCGTTCCGAATCCGTCAAGCTAAGGGGAACTCCACAGGACGCGCGCCGACGCGGCGCTCCGTCGCGTTCGAAATCCGTCAAGCTAAGGGGGAATTCCACAGGGCGCGCGCCGTCGCGGCGTTCCGCAGCGTTCCGAATCCGTCAAGCTAAGGGGAAATCCACAGGACGCGCGCCGACGCGGCGTTCCGTAGCGTTCCGAATCCGTCAAAGCTAAGGGGGAACTCCATGGAACTCCACAGGGCGCGCTTCCACGTGGCGTTCCGCGGCGTTCCGAATGCATCAAGCTAAGGGGGAACTCTCGCCCGTGGCGTTCCACGTGGCGTTCCGCGGGGTTCGGGGCGTTCCACGTGGCGGTGGTCCCGTGTTGGTGGTCCCGTGGTGGTGGTCCCGTGGTGGTGGTCCCGTGGTGGTGGTCCCGTGGTGGTGGTCCCGTGGTGGTGGTCCCGTGGTGGTGGTCTCATGGTGGTGGTCCCGTGGTGGTGGTCCCGTGGTGGTGGTCCCGTGGTGGTGTGGTCTCGTGGTGGTGGTCCCGTGGTCGTGGTCCCGTGGTGGTGGTCCCGTGGTGGTGGTCCCGTGGTGGTGGTGGTCCCGTGGTGGTGTGGTCCCGTGGTGGTGGTCCCGTCGTGGTCCGTGGTGCCGTGGTGGTGGTCCCATGGTGGTGGTCCGTGGTGGTGGTCCGTGGTGGTGGTCCCGTGGCGGTGGTCCCGTGGTGGTGGTTCCGTGGTGGTGGTTCCGTGGTGTGGTCCTGTGGTGTGGGGTGTCCCGTGGTGGTGGTCCCGTGTGTGTGGTCTCGTGGTGGTGGTCAAGCCCGTGGTGGTGTGGTCCCGGTGGTGGTGGTCCGTCAGTGGTGGTGTGGTGGTGGTCCGTGGTGGTGTCCGTGGTGGTGGCCCGTGGCGGTGGTCCCGTGGGTGGTTCCGTGGTCCCTGTGGTGGTGGTCCCGTGGTGGTGGTCTCATGGTGGTGGTCCTGTGGTGGTGGTCCCGTGGTGGTGGTCGTGGTGGTGGTCCCAGGTCGTGGTCCGTGGTGGTGGTCCCGTGGTGGTGGTTCCGTGGTGTGGTCCCGTGGTGGTGGTCCCGTGGTGGTCGTCCGTGGTGGTGGTCCGTGGTGGTGGTCCGTGGTGGTGGTCCGTCCGCCCGCCGCCGACGTCTCGTTTTTTTGCGTTATATTTACGTTATAGGTGACTGCTTTCTGCATTCGGGTTCGTGGATCCTATCAGGTTTCTATACAACCTTGCAAGGCCGATATAAAAATGTAAAATATCCGGCGGAAGTTAAGGTTTGGATTAGGTCTAGGAGGCGACCCTGGGGATGCCCAAAAGAAATGATCGAAAGCCAAACCTAAGGCGCAAAAGATGCCACCGGAGGCACGCTGGCCGAACTCGTGGATGGCATGTTAGGCGGACTTGGCATTGTGGAAGGGGCAGATGCTGCCTCGGCGGAACAAAGGGTTTGCAGGCGTGCGTTAGGCACAGGACCACTGCTGAGTCCAGAACCATGCATGCGGCTCCTAAGGCGTCAAGGCTCGCCTGGAGGATGAATCTCACACACGCAGTGTACAGTATACCAGTATACCACAGAGAAAGATCATGGAAGTGACATGAAGTGACCGTTCTGGACCTTGGACAGCGGATCTCAACGGCAAACCCTCATAGGGGGTAAGCTCATGGCGGCCAACGACGGCTTTGTTACAGGAGGCGGTGCCGCTGCCAGGACTGCAGGAAGGCAACATGAAAGACATGATGAGCATGCGGGGGGCAGGTTTCATCATGAAGTATCCGAACACATATTTAAAGAAAGGTGTGACCAAGCTCTTGAGCTACTTGCACGTCCAATTTCAAACAAAGAACCCGCTGCTCCCCGAAACCTCAAAAATGTCACGCCCTTAGCCTTCAACACTTGCCATCATGTGGAGTGGTCTTCGAGTCATTAGTCTCTGAAATTTGTATAAAACATGTAAAGGCAACTGCCTGGAGCTTTAGGCTGTGCTGGAGCACTGGTGCCGCCTGCAGTGCCTCGCAATTCAGGCTTTGTACAACTTAAGAATACCTTTAAGACTTAGGGATTTTGCATTGACTCGATGATAGTGTTCGGGCTGAGCTGGGGAGCTTATTGAATCGTCACAGCACCTGGCGACCACTTCAATGTAAGCCATGGCAGCTGATACTCTGCAAGGCATGTTCGGTGCACATCGCTGAAGGAGACAACGGCAAAGCTACAGGCACGTCATAGATTGTGACCCTGGTGATTTTGCACATGCCATTTCTTGCTGCAATGCCCGACAAGTGTGGGAAGCTCGGTATTGTGCACGCACACATTCGCGAAGAGTGTATTTGTATGCTCACTGCCACCAAGCTTTCGCATTTGCGAGTACGAAAACAGAGTGCACAGCGATGTCTTCGACACACGCGAAGTCCGATTTCCAAGCCCTTGCTTTTCGAACGAGTTTGTCTCAGAGCTGTGAAAGCATGACGACTCCAGAAAAGGACAACCGAACTATGGAACGGTTTCCTGTCTTTGCTCATGGCTCGTGACTTTGAGCTGTTTCCATTGCGGCCAGAAAGCCTGAATCTAATCAAAAATCTAATTTAAGTCATAAAGGGCACACAAAACCCCCAGTCAGACCACTGTACGTAGCAGGTTGGGCGTTTATATACTACTCATCTGATTAGGGTATGTATGTGATATGCTAGCTGCTAGCTGGACCGGTCAAAGCTCTCGCTCAGATCCATTCCAGCAATCTTCTGTCGGTCCCCAGAAGCAGTGATCCAAACAAACACGCTGCTGCATAGGGAGAAGCCGCAAGGGGAATATGGTGGGGGCTTTGCTGCCCAGCGTATCAGTTCACAGTGGAATTTGGCTAAAGTCGCTCATTATGACCCTGAGGGCGGGGGGGGGGGGCCTCTTTTGGGTTTGCTTCTGCATTTGCTGCATTCGGAGTGGCGCATAGTGGCGCAACCGATCCGAACTCGTCACAGTCCGTTGTTTGTTTTGCGAAGATACGGAGGCCATGCTGAGTCGCGCATTCAATCCCCGCCAACAGTGGCGCATTGTGACATCGAACTCAAGACGGTGCCCTGTTCTTTGTTGTTGCGAAGACACGAAGGCCGCTATGACATACGGGAGCAAGCAATTTCCCAAAATGAACAACATGACAAGAGCACTTGAAGCGTGCAGAAAACACCGTGTGTGCAGTGTCATCAGTTTCTCGGCAGCGACCCGACAGTTGTTACCAAAAGGAACAGAATGGGGGGGGGGATGTCCTTGCAACCAGATGCTATCATGGGTTGCCCTTGCGCGTCAACAAACGATTGCGATCATGCGGCCGTTGCAAGTGTTATTTGTCATTTGTCTAGCACTTTTGCTTTTTACTAGCTGATGTTAACCGATTTTTGCCCAGGCAATATGCGAGACCGCCAAGATGCACCAAAGAAGGCAGAGAATGATGGTATTTGACGGTAGCAAGGAGGTTCTGGGAACACACCTCAAAGTTGGGTTTTTGAGTTGCACTCATTCGAGCGTCAGCTTCGATCCCGATCGCACAAGCAGCCACTTTGACTGATACCACAGTTTGATGCGAAGACTTTCCACGGCTAATTCCTTTACGTACGACGTAGAACGGCGTCGATGCTCGCACTTTGGCGGAAACGCCTGTAAACTTAGTGATGGTCTTCGAAATTTTGTGGAAGGCAAAAGCACGCGCTCCAAGGACTCCAAGGTGCCTGCCCGAATTTAGCAAGCGTTAAAATTACCGAGCAAAAAATCGGAGAAAAACAGAAGCCCGCAAGCATCTCAATCCCCTAAGACACGAAACCACAAAGCAAATGACATCACGACTCGTTGCTGATCACCGCTGCCTCCAAGCATCGACATGGTGACTGAGTCGATGGCGGCCTGGTGGTCAAGGAACTCGGACTGAGGACTTTGGGGGTTGGGGAGTTGAATTCCGTCTGTCCACTTGTTAGGGATTAGCTGCCGGTTTTCCGACTGCTTGGCAGCTGCGCAAGCGATTTTGTACTCCCACAATCTCCCACACCGTATAGAACTGTGCTTTGAATCATTACACATTGTTTGCTTAACGCTGCTGAACGAATCGTAAGTAGACCTTCTGCTTGAGAACCGCATGCCAAGGTGAGAGTGAGAGAGTGAGAGGGAAAGAAGATCTTTTTTCTTGACCTTCGCCTTCGATGCTACGACTTACATCTTTATCCGTCATGTTCACTGATTTTGTCGTGGAGAAAACTAAGAGAGAAACATGACAAAACAAAATAGGTTGAAGCGGAGGAGGAGGGAGGAAGAGATGGAGGGAGATCGTCCATGCAAGGGTTTGTTTTGGGTTTAAGCCGACAAACATTTGGAGGAAGGAAACATCTAGCAAGATATGGGCAAGAGAATGAAACAAGGAGTGAGAGCGAGGAGACAAACGCACGCACGCACGCACGCGTTCGCATTTGCGCCCGCTAACCCCTCTCGCCGTCCGCGGCGTGTCGGTGCGCTGGCGCGTGGGAGGCTTTCGCATTTTTGTCCGCGAGCGGCCACCCTCTGCGTGTTCCCGGCGTGTCGCGACGCTGGCGCGACGGAGGTGATTTCGTGAAGCTTCTTCGTTGTCATTGACGCATGGATGGATGTCGTCATTGATGTCGCAAAGGATGGCGTGTGCATGGATGCCGGCAAGGATGTAGTGATGTCTTAAAAACTGCTCTAAATGCTTTCGGGACAACAACACTCTAGTCTCCCGTCGAATGGAGCAAAAGGGTTCCATATACTCCATATATGTACATGGGACATAGTCTGGCTGCAAGGTGCTCACAGCTCGGAGGCATGGATCCCCTCTCGGGCAAATTTCAGCTTAGACATGCTTGTGCCTCACGGCCTGTATTTTCAACCTGCGGCGAGACCGACAGAAGGCTACAGATTTGTATGTCTAGCGGACACAGCGGCACGCACTACAGCGGCACTTCAGACCCGAACCCTCTAGGTAACCTTCAAGCACAACATGCAGACATAAACATGGAGAGTGGTCTGGCCGTGACCCGGCCTGCGCAGCCGCCCGCAGCTTGGCCAAGGCGTCTGGGGCATCGAAGCTGTGACCTGACCGTTTGGCTTTGGGGCTAGGTTGGTGGTACAGTCCGGCACGGTAGCTTTTAGGATCTTTGGATCATGTTGCGCAGGTTTAGGCCTGAAATTCAAGGGGCAGGGGTGGAGGGGGTCATGCTGGGGCGAGAACTTTCTGGGACCTTGCAGGCAAAAACGCAGGCACGCACGCACGCACCCACGCACCCACGCACCCACGCACCCACCCACCCACCCACCCACCCACCCACCCACCCACCCACCCACCCACCCCCACACCACACATCACCACACACACACACACACACACACCCACACACCCACACACCCGCCCATCGCCACCCACCCACGCACGCCGCCGCACGCACCCCCGCACACACACACACACACACAACACACACACCACACACACACACACACACACACACACACACACACGTATGCACACAGACAAAGACACAGAGACACAGACACACAGAGACACAGTGACACAGACAAACACACACACACACACACATACATAGAGACACAGAGACACACACATGCACACACACACACACATTCACACAGACACAGAGACACAGAGACACAGAGAGACAGACACACAGACACACACAGACACACAC